CATGCTTAACTAATTACCTATACAAGCGGCTGTTTGTCACAACAGTTTGCTTTGGTTCTATTGTTTATAATGGATTTCGTATCGTTAGCATGCACTGTTAATATTACTATTGTAAATTGATGCTTATAGTTGTGTTAACTGTATTGTATAATTTCCATTGTAGTTTCAGTTCTTAATTTTTAAATGCAATATGTTTGTGCTTCTGAAATAGTTGACGACCTCGATGCCATACCGTGATGCAGTGGTAGGCAGTTTACTATTCGTATCTAAATGAGGTTCCGGATTTGAATGTCGATAGTAAATGATATTTTTTTTATTTGGATTTCGTCTGATACCCCATGATTGGTTTTTCATAAGACGGGATATAGTCAAGACTAGCAAATTGTAAGGTTGAGTAACACTTTATTCCGTTTCAGTTAGAGGTATATCTAAGAGAAATTGTTTGAAAACTTTATTATTTTAAAACACGAGCGAATTTGTAAGTGTAGCTTTAAAAATCTTAGCGGTAGGTCAGGAGGTAGGTAGGTACACTATTTGCATATGTGTAGATTAGCGCAACCGATTAGCATCTTGACTCTTACAAATACGTATATGTATTTGCTCACGTAACGTTTTTAGGATTCCATAACAAAATGGCAAAACGGAACCCTCGAAGATCCTCCGTTCGTTCGTCCGTCTATCTGTATATATGCTATATTTCAATAACTATGTGTTATTGCTATCGATTTGAAATTTGGGCTAGTTTTAGATTATATTAAACTAATGTTATTGTTAATGAATAAAGCACCACTAAAAAGAAAAATATATATCTCTATATGTGAAAACACTTGACAAGTTTTTATTATATTATGAAGCTTGTATATTGTCAATGTTATTTTTGTTTAACATTTTTTTTCGGCGGGATTTTGCTCAATGTTTTATATCTAAGAGATAAACACGTAAGTGCACACAGCTATGTTCGAAGTACTTAGACTACACCAAAAGTATAAAAAAATCTCTCTATGTAATCGTATAATTAAATTATTAAAAAAAACCGTAGAAAGGGAATGGCATATACTATTTTTATTATATATAGATTGGTAGAGAACACATTAAACTTTTGCATTATTCTTAGTCTATGTCATTCCGTATATACCAAATTAAAAGATGTGATATATAATATATGTTCTGGCGTGTATGTAAGTCCTGTAATGTCTGAAATAACAGAAAATATTATTTCTACTTATTTGCATATACTTATTACTCTTTGTTTTTACATAGGCGTATTTAAGGGGTCAGGGGAGGGAGAGGTAGGCGGTCCCCCCCCTAGAATTTTTTCGTCCTCACCTCAGTTTACGAGCGAAGGTTCGCAAACATATGTCTTAGAGTACATATACACCTTTTTAAGGGGTCAGGGCCCAGGAAAATAATCTTACATACGCTAATAGGTCCCTAGCAGGATAGATAAAAGGAACAGATTACCTATGGTTCTTTATTTATTTATATATGTATAGGCTTAAAAGATGCCCTTTAATTACGTATTCTTCCTTTATTAGTGTGAAATTAGTAACATATAGAGAAAGGGTTTCTTCTGCATTGTCCATAATATTTTTAGCAATATTAAAATAGAATTGGATATTTCCAGAAACTTTAATAGTGGTACATATTTACGCCGCCCACATAAGTATGTGAAATACGCGTAATGCGGCATGTGTGCCCGTATATTTTGAAATGCTTTAATATTCCTCTACATTAGGTAAAGTTATTAGTGATACCAATTTTTAGGTATTAGATAAATTTAATATCTATAGAACAAATATAATTAATAATTTTTTTTACAATAGTGTTTGCAGGAGTAATCACATGCGTTCGTAATGTATTTTTCGAAAACCTTAAACGCAAAGTATGTATGTAATCTTTATGTGTTGGAATATCAACTATTTTGCTTTATACTGAACTACTTAATCGTCAACACAATACTGGTGCCTATCCCATCAAAATAAAATAAGTAAATAATTCACGTTTATTTCAATTTTTTTTCACAATATAGCAAGAATCCACAAAAAGGTGGAGAGTCGTAGATTTATAAAACTGTAGCAAGAGTAGATTTTCTTATACTTTCATAATATGTATGAGCTCCCATACTTTTGTAATTTATTGGTACGTTGACAATAGCATAATGAATCGATACATATAATAAAATCGTAACTGGTCGCTGTCTGTACATGGAAGATATATAAGAAAAACTATTATAGGGGTGGGGAGGGGGCTTTAAGAACGCTATAGAACCCAAAACAATGATTTTGAGAATTTTTGTCTGTTTGTCTGTATATCTGTTTGTCTGTACGTTTGTACACGTTAATCTTAGAAACGGCTAATCCGATTTGAATGTGGTTTTCACAAATGTGTTGCGGTTTGCTCCACTTAACATTTAGTGTTGTTTTATTTCAATCTGTTCATAAATAAAAAAGTTATATCAATCTAAAGAATCACATATAAAATGCTATAAAAAGCATATAGGATGGTTTATATACTGACTCACGCGAGTGAAGTCGCCGGATATTGCTAGTAGGTACCTATAACTAATTACTATTTGTATGTTATTATTGTTACCCGTACATTGTGTTGTTTTCAAATAACTTAAAGAAGAAAGAGATTTTCAATTCGGTGATTTATTTGTTTGTTACTTTATAATTCCGTTAGTTGTAAATCGATTAAAAAGAATTTTTAAAAGGGTATACTTACAGAGATTGGTCTCATAAAAATTTTAGCAAAATCGGTTCAATTGTTTAGGTTTTAAATCGAATTAAATGGTTTTGCCATAATTGATGTCGGTTTTTTGTTAGACACAATTATTATTAGAAAGACAGTACTCTTATAAATATAATACCTGCTTATTTTAATAAATAAATGAGAGAATTGGAACAATTTTTTATTGTGAATTTTTTGTTTCACAAACTGTAAATATATGGTAAGTATTACTCGTAATACTGTTTTTATCCTGGTGAAAACAGTAGGTATTTTAAGGTATAAATGGTACATAAATCATTCAAGGATTCTTGTTTAAAACCCGAAATAAAATAAAATTTGAAATAAAAGTATTTATTAATTATATAACATAATATTGGTACATGAACATGAAGCTGTCTGGTTTCAGTATAAAACAGGCCATCCTTTGGAATTTAACGGTCGAGGGATGGGCAGCAGCGTCCCTCTTAAAACATCACCAAAGCCTAACTGCGTTTGCCAACCCGAACCGAAGGCTATTTTTTTTTACAACACAAGAGGCAAACGAGCATGCAGCTCACCTGATGGTAAGTGACTACCGCCGCCCATGATCACCCACAACACCAGTGGCATTGCAGGTGTGCTGCCGGCCTTTTAATGGCTATGTTCGTCAGTGGACAGTTAACGGCTGATATGATGATGATGATGAATATAAATTAACAGCACCATGCATTTTCTAGTATACTCTATGATATCTTACAATAAGCAGTGTTACGTCAATAAAACATATAAAATAATTCCAATAAAACATAAAAATAATACAATCGAATTAAGAATCTCCTTTTTTTGAAGTCGATTGAAAATAGGAAACCATAAAAAAGAAATTACTTTTTTTGTACCATATAGGTCTTAAATAATTAATTGGTAATTTTGAATTTATTATTTTAGCAAGATGTAAATTTTTGATACCCAATTAGATACATCAAATATAGGTTTAGTGAATTCCATGCTTCTAACGAATTTGCTCACTGATCAGATTTTACTCATTTATAAAACTAAGTTACATCAAATGAAATATTTTCTATGTTTTTAGTTCATTTGATAAAAGTTTATTTTTATTATTATTGTTTTATAAATATTATTAGATTTCTCATCTCGTTTAATTCGGAGTTTGAACCTAAACTAGTGCTGATAACGCTAGGGTATCTAATGATAATTGATAACTGATATTTATTATATTATCATTTGCGTGTCAGTATCTTACGCCGACAGCATTAAAGTTTTAAAACTACTGCATGGACTTTACTATGGTTTTTACGTGAAACTAAATTTACGCTATTATATTTTATAGTGTAAATTTATTAAATGTAATTAAAAAATAAAACTTTAAATTACAGTTATACAAAAGTAAACTTGTTTTAAAATTAAAGCGATGGTAGATAGTAAGAATTGTGCAGACAAAACCGCAGCAAAGAGCCAATCTTCCCTATCATATTAATATTGTTTTTAATAACAATGTGCTTTAAAAATAAAGACTTGTTTTGCTATTATTATCTGTATTTACTTTATCTTAAAGTCTATTGTCTAGTTCAAATAGATATTATCTTATTAAAAAAAAAAACATGCGTAAAACTCTTGCAGCTATCGGAGACGTCGGGCCAGAGAGGTCAATTGAAGTCTGATTTAATATTAACTTCGTTATGAAGCTTAGTTATCATTTGTGCGGTAAATCAACTCTGCGTCGTTTCTAAAAGATTACGTTTTTTGCTGTTTTTTCCAATTCATTGAGTATTTTGGTGAGTAAATAGATGCATAGTAATTAAACACAGAAGCATGTAAAAGAAATAGTCAAGCCTACCTACTCTTAAAATATCTTTACTGATATAATTATGCCTATTTCAGTGACTTATATTTTTTTAAACTTAATCACATTTATTATAATAAGAAATAAGTTAAAATTGCCTTACAATAAAAATTATGTTACTGGGTAATTAATGACTAATTTTGTATTTATAAAATTAATAAGCGATCAACAAATTTTAAGTTAGGGGATAATTGGAGCTAGTTTTACAGAATTTGTTATATGCTTTACAGAAAACAACTATCCCTTATGATAATTATGTAAATCAATTTAAGGAATAAACCTTAAATTTAAAACTAGATCTACGTCTAGTTAGAATATTTCTAAGTGATGTTAAAACCTACTTATAAAGATTTACATTATATTTAAATTTAATTACTCATAATTATAATGACTCCACTCTGAATACAAACATAAATAGATCACTACTCACCTACTGCAATGCGTCCTTCCTTAGGCTGTTTATAAGTACTTGTTTGTTAGAACTTGAGTAATACTATAGTATGTGCATAATTGCTTTATCAGATAAATCAATGTACACGTTTTCCCGACGACCGGCACGGAGACAACTATTTATATGCCACTATAGATAGCTTGGCCAGTACGAGCCGAACACTGAATAACAAATGAGAAAAATCTTCACACGTTCAGTGACCACTCGTGCCCCCAACTGATCATCAATTGCGAATGCGATACGCATATCAAATAATATACATTATACATGTTACTTCGTTTCGAATTATTGAAATATGACCCCATTTTATCGAACTGTTCTAAATTAACATAAGTCCGTTCAAAAGTAATTTATCAATCGACAGGAAACACCAGTCAAATGATATTCATTTCAAATCCTCAATTAAATTTCCATCCTATATAAATTTTATTGAGAATTGTTGGAACTTGATTAAATTTGGAATTCATTTACTCGTGAGATTAATAACTTAATGAATAAATGCAAAATTTAGTCTAAGCGCATAGCTTTAATTATTGGATTCGTTCATCATGAATGAATCCCATTGGTTTGATTCTAAGTAAAACCTGTCTCCTAAACTAAGAATATTAGCGCACAAATAAAGAAGTTTCTAGTTGTAAAAAAATTTTATAGATGATTTTGGCATAATTTAATAATAGATTTTCTACGATTATGTTAATGTATTTGAATTTAATATATCTATTTCGTAACTATTACATATCTGGCATCAACATTTGTCGTGTAATCTGAGACAAATAAGACTCTAGAGAGAAGGCCAAACATCAATATTACCTCTGCTTCAAAGTTAGAGCTAAAGATACATATAATATATATAAGTAGGTATATAACATAATCTTAAAACTCCATATAATGATATGAATTCTAATAAACATATGACTGTACTACTAGTTATGCTATTATATAATATTGTTTACAATTTGAGTAAATAAGTTTCATAAGAGCTTCTAAAAGAATGATGGAAGTGCATTCCGATGTTCACAATAGGAGTGCTATTGGTGGGTGAAAGTGAGTTCGATGAACCAAATGAAAGTTTACGTAAAGGGTGTCTGGATCAGGGCAAGGACCCTTCTCCAGAAAGTAAAAGGCTGCTGCGTCTTAGCGATGAATTAATCGTATTAAAAGCTTCAGTATATAAATAAATATATTAAAATGTTTATTAGCGAATATTTAAAATATCGCATTTTTATTGGTGCGTAATAACTAGTTCAATTTAATAATAATTTGTAATTTGTATGTGATTTTTTTATATCTTATACATAGGTATAACTAAAAATCCATGAGTTTTCAGACTTTATTAATAACTTTATTTTACACTAACTTTTTACTGCGGCTTCATCATTCCAAAACTCTTTATCTTTGTACTCCTCGCAATTTAGGGAAACTTTCTAAGTTTCTAACCCCAGTAGCAATTGAAATTGTATGTTGGTAGGTCAGTCAGTCAGGACAAGTTTTTTTAATATGCATTTGAAAAAAACAATAATTAATTGATTGATCATAAAATAATATTAATCGTATTTTTAATTAACACATCCTTTGTCTAATGTATTTGCCAGGCCTTTGTTAATTATAGAAAAATAACAACGATTAATTATATCGGTTTTCCTCATAAACATAACTGGATATACTATATTTTTATGCAGTATATATACCTACTCAACGTTACTATAGTAATATTTCTCTTTTAGTGGAGTAAAATTATCAAATATTTTTTTTTAAACTTTCATGATAAGAAATGAGAATAAAATAGAAAATCACGAACTTTAACATCACGTACACCAACTCGTATATATTTGTTTAATACATGTGCAAAAAGAGAGTTATATTCGGAAAAGAAAGATATGACAGAAAGCAATTTTATTTATACGATGAATGTTTAATGACTCATAAAAGCATGGTAAGCGCGTAATGTCCGTTTGTTTCTATTTGAATAGGTAAGTATATTGTTTTTACACATACGATCATAAAATAACCCATGGAATGGCTAAATAATGACCGTGAAAAAAGTCAATTGGTAACAGTGAAAGTGGATATGGCAGTGATAGAAGGTGTTCAGATGAAAGTGGTCTAGTGGTCTGGACGCGAAATCCTTGAGTCATGTTCGATTGGACGTCCATCATGGGCGTGGGATACCTTTTTATTTAACATTTGGTTACTCGGTTATATATAAATTGTGGCTTATTTTTCTCTCTTTTCAAAAAATTCATTATACTAAATATCATGAAATTTGGCTGAGCCGTTAAGATTTTAAGAGATAACAAATAAAGTCACTTTCACATTTACATATTTTTTAAACAATGTACTCGTATATATAGCTCTGTGTAAGTTGATGTTGCTAGTGTTGCAAATACATCAGCGTCATTCGTGATGTGATTCGTAAAAATGTAATGTGATTATTTAAATAATTTATTACCCTAGTACAATTGATAAATGAAATCTCTTCATCATCAATTTGTCAGATTTAGTTCATTTTCGCGGAAAAAATTCAATGTAGGTATTGTTTGATTCTTATAATTGTAACATATCTATTTTTAGTTGAATATGTTTTTGGGAGCCTTGCTAAATTATTTATATGGACATCTCGTGTTTTCACGTACGCCTAATGTAGTTAGTATCTGTCGTCTGTATCATGTATAAATTAATTTAATATTTTCGTTAATTATTAACTTTATGATCACGTATATCATTAGCTTAAGAATTAATGTACCATTTTTATTTTAAGTGACTTTCAAAAGTACAGGTTAATTTTTTTGGATAAGTGTTACGATTTTAATGTAACTTTTTGCAATCGATAGTGGTTACTGTCGTATTGATTAGTATTAATTTTGTCACAATTAAAATAGCTTTTTATGCAAAGCAAAATGTACTCGGTGGACTTTTAATGTAAATAAGAAACAATATAGTTTGTGTAGTATCTATCCTATACCTTAATTATCTGTTTACAAAAATTTCACAAAATTTAACAATATCTCAGCACTATTTTATATAAAAAGAAAACCTTATGCAATATGTTATGTTTCTATACCCAGTATTTTCGGATATGTGTTGTTAGTTTTTTCTTTTATTCTAGCTATATATAAAGATTATAATTGAAACGGATTGAAGTATTTACTGTGAGTTCAACGTGCTAAGTTGTAGTGTTAAGTTGCAATGACCTCGTATTTGTTCCAAAGAGATTAAGTAATGAAGTGGATAATAAAAAATGGCGTCTATGTTATATATAATCTATCTTGTGCTTAGATTGTACCAAAATAGATTATGTTTTATTAAAGAACTTTACCGTTTGATTTGCTTTCCAAAGAAGAAATGTTACGAGTATGCTATCCTTCCATACATAGTTCCAGCTCTATATCAGGAACGTGAGTGGGTGGAACGTTAAATAAGTTAATGACGCTTTATACCTATTTGTATTACAGTATATTGTTTTTTCAATGACTTTTATACATTTAGCTACGTAATTTAGTTTATACTCGTTACAGCAAATTTTGGATTACCAAACTAAATTTGAATTACGCATCTATGCTCTTTTAATTTATTTGTATTAGAATGAATGAAAACTCTTTATAATTCCCTTCAATGAATGATACAGATTATAAATATTAACAATATGTACACAAACAAGATAAATAATTAATTACATTAAAGCAAGATAAAGAGGCAACAATGGGCAATAATTAGACTTCCTGAATAAAGAGGAATGCTTTGTTTACACATGATTACTCAGTAAGTTCTACCAAGAAATCGTAATCATACTAATTATATCTACAGGTTCAAGTAGTACTGACTTATTTGCTTACTTATAAATACAACTATTTTCAAATCTTCTAAAAATGTAGATGTATAGATTTACGACTACCATCAACTACTTTCGTTAAAATTAGGTTACTTCTAAATATTACCTTAGAATTAGTACTGCTTTATATATAATTTAATCAATTTGCTGTAATATAACGCAAACGCCGTATTGATTTTTGAAACCAGATTTTTTTTCATTTTGTTTAAAAGGTCTTCTGGCTAAAAATAGAAGAGGTTTTTTTAATGGATGATAATGGTAAATCAGCCTGTGCTAACGATATACGTTGGCGGGGCACCAGTGAGGGATGATAGATGAGAATGAAAAGGCAGGTCGGTTAGACCGTCGTAATAAATGGATGGATTGTTTTCCAGGGGGACCAGGTAGAGGTCAACCTGACAAGGTACATTGCTAGGAATGTACTGGTAGTCCGCCTCACTAACAATCAATTTTCCCTCTAAAATAGATGAATGAGGTTCACTATAAAAGTGAACTTATTATAATATGAATATGGTAAAAAGCAAAATTATGAACTTTGCTATTTATGTATCACGACAAATCTTTACGAGATAGGCATATAACTCTATCATCTAATTGTTAATTAACAAATTATTTTATAATGTTGTAACAATTAATTTACACATTTACAATCTTGAAGAAGAATCTAAATTCATACTATTTCATATAATGAAAATCCAAAAACTCGGTTTGCTAATGCTCTAGAAAGGAACTCCGCGTTATTGTTTTAATAATAGACAGCACGTAATAAGATTTAATTTCACCGCTACAATTGTCTACTGCTGAGACTTCAATGCGCAACTTTTTTATGATTATGTCACAGTCATAACGATTATGATTTACGACTTTTTGTAGACACTTATATTTTTTTGTAGAACTATATTCAAGTTACGATGATAATAAGACACATTAAACAAATTCATTGTTGGTGCCAGGTTACAATAAGTAAACGCGTCGTGTGCGATACCACCGTCACTTTCCAACAAAGTCAATGAAGCGCGGAGAAAGTGGCTGACTACGTCCGCGTACTGCTGCCACCCGCCAGTAAAATCTGCTGATTCATATGTGCAAATCGGTTTCATATCACGCCTGAGATTATAGTATCTCCTTGCCAACAATTTCGAATTTGCAATTCCGAGAGGTAAACGGAACGTACACTTCTATTATTATTATGTACACAACAGCAGATACGCAGTTCTTTGTTAAAATTTTCTCTTAATTTTATTGTCGTCGTAGGGAAATAATTATACCTTTCTTGGCCAACTTATAATCATACGCTCGCATATACGTACGATAGTAAATAGTTTTTCATTATGTTAACGTGTCAATGCTCTTTATATAAAAAAAGAAGTGGTAGCTATTAATAGTAGTCAAGGCTTTGGATTATTGTGTGGAAGAATTATTACTTTTCATTATAGTGATATTTAAGTGTTCACGTATTAATGTACCTCTCAGAATTTTATTGCTTTTCCAGTAAGAAGTACATCAGTTCGTTGAAGATAGATTTCTATATTATTAAGGACGATTATGTAGTGTAGAGACTTTATATAAAAATCGAACAAGAGGGTTTCGTACGTTGATTATCATCTACATCTAATAAGTTGTTTTAAATCTAACCGCAATTTGTTTATGGTAACTAAAAAAGTATGAATGCAATTATAACATTACACCTGCAAATGAAATTCATAAGCACAGGTATTGAATTTTCTGTGTTATTTTATATATTGACTTCTTATATATTTTCCTGTAATTTATAGGTAAAGAATTATTATATATGGTTTATATTTTTTTAAATTTAGGTTCAGTGTTCCGGAGTTAAGGGGCGAGATGGTCAATTTTCGCCTGTTTTCTTCAATAACTTCTAAACTATTTATCTTAAAATTATAAAAAAGTATAATATATTTGAAATTCTTACAACAAGCCCTTTCCTTTAATATGTCAGACAATATAGTTTGCAATTTTTTGTTTTATAGTTTATCCCCAAAAGTGGCCTCTATGTTTAAAATTAATTTATTAATGTCATACGTTCGGTTTTGGAACATTCACTTATATTCGTGTACTAAATTTTAACTCAATCGATGTAGTAGTTTAGGAGCAAAATGGCAGTGACGGCCGGACGACCAGACAGACATGCGAGTGATCCTACAATTCCATTTTTCCACTTTGAGATACGGAATCCTAAAAAGTATGACACATTAGCAAAAATATCTTTCAACGCCCACTGCTGCGCACCCATATCGACAAATATAAGAAATATGCCTCGTAGGTATACCTAATTACAAACAAGAATAGTCCATATACTTATAGACATAGAAATCATTTTTGGATAGATAAAGTAAATAAATATTAAATGTTCTTGTGGTATACGTAATATAAATATTATTGCTTGCAGTAGTATTGATCAAAATAAAATAACAGAGACAAATGTAATTAACAGATAATTGTACCTCTTGTCTAAAGATTAAAATGGTTTCATCGTATGTTTGCAAGTTTTAAGCCCAGATTCTACTATTAAAATTATTTTACCGAACTTCCACACCAAACATACTCATATATCGTAGGTATACAATGTTTTATATAGTGATATATGTATAGAACTTGTGTTTTGCTTATGAAGATCCCTCGAAACCCGTTTCCATCAGTATAATATACCTACATTGTAATACATGTCGCAAAATAAAGAAAATATGTTTCAACAAAAACATGTAGGTGTCTACCTAAGTATGCATAATTCGCGTTAAGAACGGGAGGTATTGGTATCTTAATAATTATAATTGTTCTCTCCATTGACAATCCATTTTGTCTCAAAAGTAATTAATATGCACAAAATTAGCTACATTTGATAATAATTTATAGACAATTATTGTAATTGTTCTATCACCACATGCAATATATTATGCAACTTAATTTGTAGAATTTTGTTTCAAGAACAAATCATATGCACTGTAATAACCTGATTGCAGAAATAGTGTAAATTTGGTTGTTATTCTCAATCCTTTTTAAACTAGAAGGAGTAGTGAGAAAATATTGTCTTCTGTCACAACCGTATCATTAATAACGGGTTTAAAAGTACCTACATACAAGCAGACAATATGAGAGGTTGGTTAATTTATAGTTATCTCAGATGGTGTATTATAGATATTTAGAACGGAAATTTTTACAATTACATATTATATCCAAAATTACATATTATATTAAGGATGAAGAATGTTAAATACGGAGAAACATCATAATTTATTGGACATCGACTAGCTATAATAATTTAACGAGTTACATAACTATGCAATAATAATAACAAAACTATATTATAAATCGTTACGAGGTTTTATGTTATAACACTTATTAATAAGTCGCCCATCGTCCGCTTAACCTACTTTCACTGTATATTTTCTACATGTTCCTGTGATTCGAAAGTTTCGTAGAAAATGATTAAATCTTTTATTATATATATCTACTTAATACCCATATTTTCGGGTAATTTATGGATTTTATATTGTACAATAAACAAAATAATAAATGTTCGTAAATATGCCATAAATTATATTATAATACGTTTTATTATTAAAGTAGATAATAAACATTAAGGAGGTAAAAGCGTTTTCTCGCATGCGTTCACATCAGTTAGGTATGGTATTTATAGACAGGTACCTTATGCTTTTTGCGCCTCATTCACAATTTTTCCACTAATTATGTATATACCTAACCCAAAAATATTAAAAAATGTCGCAATACGCATTTTATATGTATATTTATATCTCTAATATAGTAATATATACCCACTGAATGTTCAGAGAGTAAGGGGGAGTGTTGTGTCAATAATAGGTAGGTCCCTTCTTAGCAATTATATCCTTACCATTTTATTCATAAAAACTAAGACATCCTACAAACCTATTCAAATTATTTAATTGGTGTTTTGTCAGTGTCTTTAAAATTGAGAAATTAATACAAAAAATCACAAAACTCTTCAATAGCTGAAAGTAGGTTTATAAGAGGTTTGACTTTTTCACGATTAACGGAGTTAGTTTATAAATATACCCCACTGGTTCGATGTAATCGTTTTTTTTTTTAAATCTATCATGACCAATTCCTGGTGAATTGTTCATGATAAGCCAACCGATTTATATTCATACTCACTAATGATCAGTTACCGCATGATGGCATATAACATACAAAAAGAAAATACAACTCCATACCGTTGCATGTTCATGGAATGGTGTGGGTTAACGTTAACAATGGTATAGACCATTATAATTGCACATAGCTAAGAAACCAAGTAGTACGTATATTAATTGCACATAATTTTAGTTACGTTATTATCAAAATAAAGTGCAGGCCAATATTTTAAGGATTAAGACTATAGTTTATTTATTCTTATGCCAGTCCCATGACTAAAAATATCCCTTGGTCTATATGTTTGATTAAAAGGTTATATGGTTCAACTGAATTAGATGTTGTGACGTGTGAATATCGTTTACAATTAAACTATCTATCGATAATAAATTAGTAAACTAATTGCAAATAATCGACCATTGTGCAATTCATAATATTACCCTCACTTTAATTAAGACACTACTCATTAAGTCATGCTCAGGTAGATTCACATGGGCAAATAATTCATAAATTACTTTAAAAATGAGTTAATAGATAGAATTTTTGCGAGACATAACGTCGATATAACAGCAACTAATAGACGGTCTATAACGAAAACACTTATGTACAACATGATAATAATATGCTCATATTATTTTATAAAATACATTTATTTATAAATTGAAAATAGTAGCTTTCTGGTTAACTCGATATTAGCCTTTATAACGATAATAATATTTGTGTGTGGGTAGGTATGTGTGGTTATGGTGAATGATTACTAACAAACAACAGTTATTAATATGTACATAGTACTTAGTGAACAAAAGAACATAATACACGTCATGTTGATAAATATAAAAGAATAACATAACGCTACTTTGTTGGCCTGCATGCATAATACTTAGAACATTTATTTTTTTATGGAATACTTTAAACAAGTTTGTGACCTATCTGACTGTTACGGATCTCAATAGTTCATGTAAGTAGAAACATTAGCAACACCAGAGTTTACCGTACAGACAATTACTTGTTTCGCGTAAACATGGTTAAGGCATTCTTTCATTGCTCGCAAATTTACCCAAATAATTTTAAGTGTTGTTTTAGCGTTATTATTCTATTTAAAACCTCGAGCTCTGTAGGTATTCTTTATTCTTTTAATCTCATTTCCGTATTATTTATTAGACAACATATTACCCTATTTCATGAACTTTTATTTTGACAATAATATGGTCTGTTTTGTTACAGATACTTTCTTCTTCTGCTTCTCAGTTATGATTATTAGAATATCATGGCTTCTACAGATATTAATCGCTGTCGCCATAGTTGCCTTGGTATCAGGTAATTAACTTATTATTATACTAGTTTTTACCCGCGAGGATTGAGGTATATTGACTTTTCTTTCCCAAATATTACGTGTACCCAAAATTTTATGGCACTTGGCTTGTCCAATGCTTGCATTAAGTTGTCAAAAGATAGTAGACAAACTCACTTTTATTTTTATAATATTAGTAAGGATAATAAGGATTTATTTTTAGAGAAATACTCATTTCATATGTTTTTCCAATTTTGATAATGTCTTGTTTTTATAATCGATAAGATTTACTCCCAATTCCCCTGTTATACTTTCAGGTAGTCCAATATTTTTCCGAACAAGAGACAACAAAGCTTTAATAAAATGGAACCCACCTGTAGACGAATGGAATTGGACAATAACGCCACGAAACGAAGAGCCATCCTTTGTGCCATCCAACTTCACGCACAAACTTCCTCCTTCGGCCAACGAAACCGAATTGATCGCACACATGGCGGCACTGAAAAGAAATTATTCGCGTTTACTTTGGGATAACGATAAGAGCACTAACCTGCCTCTTTTTGTGGAAAAAGCTCTGAAACTGTTGAATTTGAAGCAAGTTTATTATGAAGTTGAACACTCTGTTATGTCTAAAGTTTCCTGCACGGCATGTAAAGCTGGAGCCGGCCTTTTACAACATTACATCAAAACCGGTAAAAGCAAAGAGGAGATTACTAAAATGATTTATCAGTTTTGTGTATCTTTAAACATTCAGTCCACTCGAGTCTGTGAAGGTGTAACGAGGCTTTTTGGAGTAAGTAATTTTCCCTGATTATCACTTTTCTTTTTGTAAATTTCTCTTTTTGTTTTATCGTTTTTTTAATATTGTGTAATTTCAGAGTGAAGTGGTCTATGTGTTAAAACGTATTACTATAGGCCCCAATGAAATATGCAGTTTTGTGATAGGAGATGCTTGCGGTGACGTGTATAACCCTTACCACGAGTGGGAAGTATCATTTCCGCCGGTGCCGAAGCCACCTCCACGTTTATTGGATATTCCTGTGGACAAAGCACCGACTTTCAAAGTTTTGCAAATCTCAGACACACACTTCGACCCTTACTATGCAGAAGGTGCGTATATTCTTTTATATACCTATATTATTTTGTAACGTATAAATTAGTCACATAGCTCGAAGAACCGTCAATCGATGGAGAAGAAAAGTTCTTAAGTGGTAACTCCGTGCGGGCAAATGCAGTGTAAGACAACCTCCTACTAGATGGAGTAACGACTTGAAATACATTGTAGTGAGTCAGTGGATGCTGGTGGTTCAGGACATTCCTTATGACAGTCAGCGGACGGGTAATGGGTGAAATGACAGTGATGATGATGAATTAGTTACCAAGTGAGGACTCAATGACATACATATAAAATTTTATAAGTTTTTTCATTCAATTTGGAATTGTAACAAATATGTTGACGGTCCAACTGATGGAAAGTGATAACCGTCGCTTCTAAATATGAATAGCGTTATGAACATAATATAAATAAAAATCATACAAAAGGAAACTAATATTAAAAGACTTGAATATTTATAATATACATTAATATAAAAACCGACTTTCGTTGGGGCAAAACCAGTTATTTTGTTTATATAACTAAAATACTGAATCTGATAAAGTTTCTATGGGATTAATCTGTAAGTATATCCTTTCAGATAAAAAAGCATTTTCCAAATCGGTATTTATGAGGTAATAAACATAAAAAATACAACCACATTGAGAACCTCCTTTCTTTCGATGGGATTAAATGCTTTAATATTTGTAATATTTACTACTTACATGATGTACGAGAATTTACTATTAAATGTACAACCTTAAAATAATTACTAAAAAATTACATGTTACAGGTGCTAACGCGGAATGCAACGAGCCGCTTTGTTGCCGCGCATCGAGTGGTCCTGTGCTGACGCCGGCCAGCGGCGCTGGCCGCTGGGGAGACTACCGCAAATGCGACACCCCCAAACGAACCATCGATCATATGCTGAAACATATCGCCGACACGCACACCGTGAGTATGTCTATATTTTAAGAAAAAAAGATAGTATTCTATCGTGTGTGAAAATTGATCTCTGGTCTGAAGAGTTTCTAGATCCCCTTTGTTACATAAAAAGGCTTACCGGACAAAGGCTTCATGTGCTGTTCACAGCATGAAGTATGTGACAATATTTTTTAATTAATTCGAAAGTTAATTTGAAAATTTAAAAGGCTTATTTGATTTTGGAATCCACGGACTGTAGTGAAATATCACAGTTTTAAAATTTTAACGACTTCACCTTACGCCATTTTCGATCTCAAACTTCATCTTGTTATATTCTCAGGCACTGGCAGTGAACTAATAAATCCATGTCATAGTAGAAAAAGTATTTAGAACAGAATAAAAATCGTATTAATATATATATATTGAAAATTGTAGCATTCAATGGATGAATGGATGAATGTTTGAATGTTTGTTTGTTACTCTTTCATGTAAAAACGATGATACGGATTTGAATGAAATTTAGTAAACAGGTATATTATGTCCTGTTTTAGCACATGTGATACTTTATGTACTAAATCACGTGCACAATACCACAAGACACAACAAGTAATTTATATAAAAGTGACTCATTTAAGGATAGATGACTAATTGTTAATTACCCTGGATATCTAATTATAATATTAATAAAAAAAAACAACTATGAGAATAATCCATAACGGGGTTAATTGGTTGTTAATATGTGACATTAATAATTTTCGAAATAACAATATTTGTTATCCACTTAACGTGGAGCATTAGAGTACATATACGTATTATAGTTCTTTCATCACCCTTTCAGCATCGTATCACCAAACGGGGCGAGAGTTGCCACCTTTACTTCGTAGACATACGAACAAAGCGCTTTGCGTCTTCCTTCATCATGTGTACCCCTAAGGAATAGAACTCTCTCATGGTTTTTGTTTTACTACTACATATAATCTAGACTAATTTTAGGCACATGTGAATAGGCTATTTGTGGGCCCGCGAGCTCCATGTTAGACCCTTTCATCACTTTCCATCAAGTGAGATTGTAATCAATCGCGGGACCCTTCAAAAGAAAAAAAAATATCACCATAAACGTTTTTTTTTATTTAGAATCCATAATATCTTAATCACTTTGTCTCATGCTGGTGTTTCTTTGTATCTGGTTGATTTGTTTCGGTTTTGTCCGATATATATAATATGTAATAATAAATAGGTATATAATATATTTATGTATGCATGTATGTATAATGTAGGTAATTTAATACTGTTCATTATGTTGCACCGTCTATTACATTTTGTGTTATTCCTGTTTATGATAAACTGGTAGATAACGCCATATGTTGTTAACTCTGCTATTTACACTGTCTAGGTATATTAAAGTTTAATAAATAAATAAATAAAGTCATCAAGCGAAAATACTAGCTGTCTGATTGTAACTTCAAGGTTACACTTATGATTCATGCTTAGATTTCGCTGATTTCAGGACATTGACTACATATTATGGACTGGAGACCTGCCACCACACGATGTCTGGAATCAGACGAAAGAAGAAAACCTGAAGGTCCTCCAAGAAACTGTAGCTCAAATGTCGGACATGTTTCCTGGAGTTCCAATTTTTCCTGCTCTGGGCAACCATGAATCCTCACCTGTAAACAGGTACGACGATTAAAATATCAAACAGCTTGTGTACAGTAAATATACATCATCGAAAAAATCGGTTATTTTCGCAATGTTTTAAGATAAACGATAGTGTTTATCTAGTTTTAAAATCAACGGAAAATTATAGGAAATAACATTTACATATATATAATAGTGCATCCGTTATTTTTTTGTTTGATCGATAATACAGATACCTGCTATTGTTATTTTATCAGATTTGAATGTATGTATTATTTTGTTTTGTATTTTCATATATCTGTCTTATTTTCAAAAACTACTGTTTTTCGCGTGAATCAGTATATTTTATATACAGAATCACGTGAGAGAAGCTGTGACCTAGGTGTTAAATTAGGATATATAACTTACACGTATACCGAATTTCAAATTCGTTCAGCTATTTAAGCTTGATTGGATAACAAACATACAAGTATCAAAATATCTTTATAAACGTTCTCATTTATAATATTAGTAGAATGCAATGATTTGTTAGTTAGTTTGTTGATAGAAAAAAAGAATAAAATTGCCTATAATCTATATAAACACAACGTATTCTGAGTATATGATGAAAAGTAGGGGTGATTTTTTTGTAATCAGTTGTGAACTTATTATTTTTTGTGTATATTTTTATTATTCTTTAATATATTAATTTATTTTATATTTTTATTTTTCTTTTCATAAGTTTTATATTATTTATTAATTACAGCGAGCCAAGTAGTAGATAGTGTTTTATGTATGGTGTCATTGTCAGTTTTTTTTTGTTTGGCTTTATATTGAGTGTTAAAAAGATTTTTTTTATTAAATATATAAATAATTACATGTTTAAAGTTTATTACTACTTCGACATTGAAATAATTACGTCGTGTTACGTGATACAAAAAACCCTTATATTATGTGTATATCAAATTTAGTGACGATTGGTCGAGCTAGTTCGTGCCAAGGTAACAAACAAATAAGGACGCACTTTCATATTTATGGTATAATATTAGTAAAGATTGAGCTTTTCTGCTGTAGGTATTCCAGCATCAATTTATCAACATTTCAGTTTCCCGCCACCATATATTTCATCTCCGGACTCAAGTATAGCCTGGCTGTACAACGAGTTGGATGCGCAGTGGCGCCGCTGGTTGCCTGCTGGTGTTTCATACACCGTACGGCGCGGCGCCTTCTACTCTGTGCTGGTGCGACCTGGTTTCCGGATCATATCGCTTAACATGAACTACTGCAACAATAAGAACTGGTTAATATCATAATTATATAATAAATTTAAGTCATATACCTGCGAAAAACAATAGGTGGATACCACTACCTATATAGATATGGATTTTATTTCTACCGTGCAACAGCAATAAGTATATTTTTTTATTCCAAAATTAAAAGCTCTTTAAACTATATCATTCTTATGGTCTGAAGTGAAGAGTAAGATAACCAGTGTGGTCTGTTAAACGAAATACTTCCAAACTACCAAAGGGAGATTTTGTATGAAAGTAATTTGCTTGGGTACCTCTGTTCCATCCGTGTTTCAACCGTAAAGCAGTTGTGTTTGCATGGCTGTGTTTCGTTTTGAAGAGTGGGATATGGCGTTTAAGTTTAATCTGCTTAACAGAAAAAATATGAGAAAAACTATTGATAGAAGATTTCTTAATTATCCCCTCTATTTCACTGTGCGTGGAGTTTAATAGTATAATAAGTGCGATACAGCTAGTTTTTTTTCTCATGTCATCTCGAAAGTAGTCTTAAGTCATTTTAAATAGACAATTATTAATATAATATAAATTACAATTCGTCACTCGTATATACAATATCTTTTTCAGGTGGTTGTTAATGAACAGTACAGATCCCGCTACTGAATTGCAGTGGTTAATCTACGAACTGCAATCAGCCGAATTCAGTGGTGAGAAGGTTCATATTATCGGGCACATTCCGCCTGGACATTCGGACTGCCTGAAAGTATGGAGCCGTAATTATTACGCCATTGTCAATAGATACGAGTCAACAATAACAGCACAATTTTTCGGACACACACATTTTGACGAATTTGAAGTATTCTACGATCCCAGCGATCTCGGTGAGTAAGAGGTAAAATTTAATTGTAGGTACTAAAATATATTTTGGTGAAGTCAGCCAAGAAACTACTCCATCGGTTATTTGTCATATTTTACGTCTACATTTTATGCAGCAAAGTATAGAAAGAGAACAAAGAGTACGTACCATGGGCAGTTAAAATGTTAACTTGAAACATAGTGAATAGTAGGTCATGAGAACGATTTGACTTGAAAGTGTCAATGTAAAACTTAAATTTTATTGCACATCGATAAGTACTTCTGTATATACTAACCTACATTAACGGGTTTGAATTAGAGAGTTTGGTAAATGCAGTCACAGATTTCTTACAAAAATAAGAGAAGAGAAGAGAGGAAAAAACTACTCTGAAACTGCACAGTACGCGACCATTTAGGTTCTATCGTATGAGTATGAATTCCCTGTCGATGGCGAGTGGCGCGATGATAAAAGGTAAGTGTGAGCATTAATTCGAACAAATCCTCAGAACACAATCCAATACACAGGCGGATCGTGATGGACCAGACTTACGAGTTGTACAAGTCTTTGTTTCGGGGTAAAATACCATTTCGCTCTATCGAGTACCTCGAGCTTTTTGGACGCCAGCTTGACTTTATCTTCTAGATGATCCCGGAACTCTACTGTACTGGAAATGTTGACACTAAGGATCAAAATACTTTTAGAAATAGTAATGTATGTTTTCTCGAATTTCCGAGCCACAGTAAATGGATTTAATATTTTTTTTAGTGGTGAACACGCAATTGTGTGTCTTAGACAAGTTAGATTAGACTAAGTTTAGTCAACCCTAATCGGAGACTGCCAAGAGGTTTTTCGATTTCAAACACAAACTCCACATGGATGCCATACATGCTGTGCGATTATCACTCGCTTGGTACAAGGGATAATCGCATGGCCTGTGTAGTATGCCCCAATACTATCATCCTTACATCCGTCAGCTATCATCATAACAATGAATACCAACTGTAGCCAGCAAATCATTGATATGCAGCGAAAATAGCGTTGAGGACAACACAGAGCCTTGCGGCACGCCGGCATTAATGTCCATACTATCGAAGTAACTACCGTCAATCACGGTTTTAATGTATCTGCTGGACAAAAAGCTGACGATCTATTTGCATAGTCCATCAGAAAGTCCGTCTGAGGACTATTTCGATAACTGAGCATCATGTAACCATATTTGTAAAAAAAGATATAATTTTCTTACTATATATATCTATAGCATTTGATGTTTTCAGGCAGAGCTACTAATATAGCATACGTGGGTCCATCTGTTTCTCCATATTACGATTTGAATCTTGGATATCGAATATATTATGTAGATGGTGATCACGATGCAACAACAAGAGTAAGTTTTAACTACGTAGTTACCTACAATTAATTTGTCCGTAATAGAGAATTAAAAATAAATAATCGACAGAAATTAAGATAGATATGTCAGATACATAAAAAGAACAGAACGTGTTTAAATGATATTCAACACAGACAATATCTTAAATACCTTTATCTCAATCAATACGTTTCTGTATTACAGCTAGTTTTTCTCTACTACAATAAATTCATAATAATTAAATAATGCATTAATATTTTTTTCAGCAAGTGGTGGATCACGAAACTTGGATCATGAACTTAAAAGAAGCAAATCAATTCGGTTATCCGATATGGTACAAGCTGTATTCGGCGCGATCTGCGTACTCAATGCCGGCTCTCCGTCCGCAAGACTGGGATAAATTTATAGACGAGATGACTGCACAGGAAACAGTTTTTAACTTATATCACAAGTAATATCAATTTGCAAAATATTTACTATATTCCATTTGCTTTTTCTGGTTTACAAAAAAATTCTATATCAATTATTTTAATTTAATACTTGGTACAATTATGAGAATTTAATTCTATACAAGGACCAATAATTTTGCCAACCAACAAATACACATAGGTTATTTTGTTTTACATGAAACTAAAGAGAAGATCAACGTATGATTTTAAAAATATTTTAGAACAAAAACTAACAATAAATATTATTACAACTATATTACAATAATGTTACAACAAATGTATCACATACATTCAAAAGCATTAAATCAAATTATAATGTCATTGGAAAATAAATAAAAAAATTCGCTAAGGAGAAAATTTGTAAGAAAAAACTACATAGTTTCAGTACAGTATATACCTATACATTAAATTACAACATATTCACATGTTATAGACATTACTGGAAGAACAGTCCCAGACGTGGAATATGCGACGGCGAGTGCCGCAAACGGCTAATTTGCGACGCGCGTTCAGGTCGTTCGCACGACCGCCGAGCGCTTTGCGGACACATCGAAGCACGTATTGATGGCACCGCACCGGCACCCCAAACTTGGCGCGCCTGGTTCTATAACGGATTGTCTGTCTCGTGAGTCGCATAAATCTTTAACATCCTACTATATAAGCACTGCTTTGTATAAAGCTCTAATACATGCTTAGTGTTTATCTATCCGTATGAGCTATCATAGTTTTAAAAGAAGGGTATTTAAAGTCTAAAATAGTTTGTATACAAATGAAATATGTCGATAAGCCTGAAGGCGTTATAATGTTTGAGTAACTAAGTATTTACCAACTTATGTATAAAGACATCATATCAAAATGTTGATCTTGGGATTTAGGTATAAGATTCTCATCCGTTTAATCCGTTCCGTTAAATTAAAGAGGAGCGAAATAAATAGCGCTTTCATAATTATTGTAAATAACTAGTAATTCGTCATTTTCATGGCACAGAGTTACATGTGCTCCGTGCAGATATGTACTTATTCACTTATTTGCAAATGTATCTGTTGAAATCAGAACTTCCGTATCTATTATATCTTGCGCTGATGATTTGCCCATCATATACAGAATGCTCCAATCATACTGTAACACACGCGTGTACGTACAAGATCGTGATATACAGGAAATTTTTATTTTTCACATACAAAATATCCTTCGTCTGCGCAGGCATATTATGCATTGTTGTTTTTATTAACTAAAAATTAAGTGGTGATGGATATACAATATATAATTTATCAAACAAGTGCACCTCATGAAATTATAAAATATATTGTTGTATATTATATATTCTGTGTTATACCTAACTCTAAATTCATCAAAACTAGAGGCTATCCATAAATTGTTTGAGAAAAAGTTTCTTTAGCTACCTACTTGTTTATAACAAAAAAATATAACTTACTTTTTAAAATCTGATGATCAATGAGCTCTAAAATATCTCAGCTTTTTTGAAACAACAAAAAATAGATTTAAATAAACATTAAATGTTGCCAGTACCTCTGCATTTCACTAATGTAGTCATTATGTATGTCGAATAGTTTAATAGATAGTAATTGTTGTAGAATTGGAACCCAGTAGAAATCTTTTGTATTTGACACCAAATAATGGTAAAAAGATATAGCAATAAAATTAATTAAGTCTATTATTATATCAATAAACTTGTAACATTGAGATACTTGCAACATCTATTTAAGCTATGTACAAGCTCTGACAATATATGAATAGTCTTTATATTTGACTAAATGATCTAAATTAAAATCTTATTTAATACAGACCTATTCCTAGTGTACAGCAAGTGTAAATGGTGATGGAATTAAACTTAGCAACTACCTGCACGCTTAGCATATTAAGGTTGGTACAATGGTATACTCTTAACTTAAAAAATAGGTTAATATACAGCTATTTCAAAAGTAGCTATATACTTTGTCGATAAACTATCAGAACACTAAGGCCCACTCTTACTTCAAGAAAAAAAAAACTAAAGTTTCCTTACCTACCTTCTCTGACAAAAGTTTGGTTAAACAATTGGTTTAATGTACATATGTTGACAATAAATTTAGCACCAATTTAAGGGAGTATTCTTCGACGCATCCAGCTATCAAGCTAGTATGGAAGTCTAATTTTATTGTCCATATCCGATTTCCCTCAAATCACTGATTTCTTGCATAGACTTTATATACCACTGAGGTGGTTAACAAGTATATGGCCTACCTGATGGTAAGCGGTTACCCTAGCCTATGAATGTCTGCAATACCAGGGACGTTACCATGACCCTGAAGAAACCTCTTTATTCCTTTTTAGAAGAACTCGCTGTTGTTTTTCCAAGAGACTACAGCCCCTTGCTGTAGCAAAAACAACCACAGGGAGCTCATTTCATAAGCGTTTGTGGGAGGAAACATCTCTGAATACTTATAGACTTTGGATTGGGTATACTCATAACAATATTAATTTTATCTTAGCTTAAATAAAGCTGTCTGAGGAGAGGGATTGTTTCTAATGGGGACGCTAGTACCTATTGCTATTCTATCCAGTCAGATTGACCTCTACAAGATCTTTCCTGGAAACCATCGTGGTTAATTTCTAACGAATTCACCACGACCGGCCATCTGATCTAACTTCATCCTTCAATGTTAACCCGTTATTGTGTATTATTAGCATGCCATAAGCGGCGCGGTACTCAACCTTCATCCATAAAAAAATATAGTTACCTATCTACATACTATTACAGTTAATACGGATTACTCATTTCAGGATGTCAATGATAATGCAATTACCTCAAGTGGCGTATCAAATACCAAAGTTTGTTCTGGGACTCGGCTGAAAATATGATGGATACATTATGAACAAAAATGAAACTTGTGTCACCACCGCTGAATATGTAAAAAAATAAAGATTAGGTATATTGCATTTGTTTTAACTTATGTAAATTTCATAAACTTGCAATTTATTTTATTAGATACCTAACAGTACCTCCATGATTTATTTTCTTCGTAAAGCAAGTAATTGTGTTTAATGATTTTAGTATTTTTATAACATTTGATGTACTTGTACAAAATACCAAATTAAATTATAATACTCAAGAGCTATAAGGTGGTCCAATTAGCAATACTTGCTATCGATACTGTTATTTATTTTTAAGGTACCTAAAATATTTTGTAAATATAATTTGTAAATGTGTAATAAATAATTAAATTTGATTTGTTTTTTTTTTCTTTCCAACTAATCTAATGTCTAGTGAAATTAATATACATATATTTTACTACTGCTAGTGGCGCTGAAGTTGATGAATGAACTGCTATATTACCAAAATTAGTATGTGACAAATACGAGAATAAACTTAAATAATCTTTACAGTAGTTTACTATGTAGTCTCAAACTAGAATTTGTACAATGGTACAATTGAGAATAGAATTTTACTTCTAAATATATTTGTGCATATTATATTTTATCTTTTGCTAAAGATTTTTGAAGATTTAATATTAAATGAGCTAAATTATTATAATTACCTATCTATACTGATTGAGGTAAGTATTTTAAACTTGTTATTTGTAATAAGCGTCAACATAGATAAGACGTAATAGGCAATAATGACTTATAAAACTTTCATTATCTACATATTTACTAGGACCGGGTAGAATGAAGTAACATATTTATAAGATAGAATATAAAATAAAACCAGATGAATACCTTTAAAATAACTATTTACTAAGACAATTCAAATATTCATTATAAAATTAAGCATCATATTATACACATTACATAAAACTAAAGACGCCATACAATAAAAATGTCCACATAAATAAACGAAACATTCATACGTTACTGAAGTAAAAATATATGTACATTGTAGGCATCCTTATCACTATTGAATTATAACATAATAAGTTGAGCATTGTACGTTATTGACTGTGCTTATACAAATTACGTAGTGCATGAACTGATCTCACCGTATGTTACTAGGTACATGTGCAATATACGAAAATCTCATCGAACGAAGCAACTCATAAAAATATGACATAACTTCACGTATCACATATTTTAATAATTAAAAATACAGCACATCTTTGTTTAGTTTAATGTGAATACAGTCATCATCGGATAAATTTAAGCGTATATAATTGAAATTTCACAAATCCGTATGGTGACGGTATAAGAATAAAACGAATCACCTTTTTATGAATTTATTATCAAATTGTAGTAACAGTGTTGTAAAGGCCTTTATGTCCTTAGTCACATATTAAAGGTATAAAGACAATACAGTGCAATAGAAAGAAAACAAAGGTCAGCGTGGTAATAAGCTAATATCATGTTACTGGTCTTTACCCGTACCCACAAATAATTTAAAAAATATATACCAGTTCTCACAGCAGGATTGCTTTATTAAATTTCTGGTAATAATTAATTCATCTCAATAATTGGCAATTTTTCGTATGAAATAATAAAAACAAAAGTGTAGTTAATAAAGAATAAAAAAAACATAAGGAATACAAACTAAACATAAATTTACTCCCTGGGCCCTCTTGTTGATGTTTCTCTAGCAATACCTACTGTTAACGCGATCTGCCTGGAGTAAATCTTATGGTCTAGTTGCAAATCCCATAACACTAAAAGACCTTTGAACTTTTGTCATGATCTCCGCAAATCTCAGAGGTAAATAAAAAAAAAAATTGCTGCTACTAGTGCCTTGAATAGGTTACGTAATTTCCTTTCTTTCATCTAAAAACTATTCTAATTTGTGTGAGGCAAATGGCTATACTTTGCGCCGTGTCAACAATCACTGTCTTAAATTCGGCGCTCATTCTTCTTCTTTTATTATTAATCATTTACTGTTCATGTATTTATTAGTAAAGCTTACTTTATTCAACATATATGCACTATGTAAGATATTTTCTGCAAAGTGTATAATCTTTCGGAGGGAAAATTTAAGCTATCGAATTGTGGGATAGATGCAATTATCACTCGGTTTAGGATACATTATTAATGATGTGTTATATTGAACATATATATGTGCAACAGTTAATGTTCACAGTTAGTGTGTCTAATGATGACTGTTAAAATGACATAACTTAGTTTAGTATCACCGATAGAATCAAAGAATAAATAACTAAATGCTTTTCTTATTTTAAATCATACTCTTAGTTCTTGAGTAATTTTTAATTCATCGATTCTACCCGTGGTACATAAAAACAACATAATGTAACTTATGCACAGTAGCTATTTACATTAATATATATACTATAAAAAAACTTATGATAAAACGGTCCTGCCTTTAAAATGTAAAACCTATAACTTTTGTGACATGTTTTGTGTGATAAAATATAAAACTAAGTCGACGTATACGTAAACTATTGTGATAAATTTGACTTGGGCAAACTTACAAAAACACATTAACTCATTAAATTGTATATAGGTATATATACCTCTACTTACTAGTGATTTTATGTTAAGTAGTGAATGATATGGTAATAATATGGTGTTTAAGATTTTGGTCCACTAAAATCCTATTTACTGAAGTTTTTTTGCCTGTTAATTTTGTTTCAACTGTGGTTGCGTTAGAAGGCCAGTTTAGATTACAGTCATGAGGATATTTACTTGTCGATTTATTTATTTTTGCAAAGTTGACAATAAATTAAAATACAAACGTTAACGAATAATATTGTGCAAAATTCACAAAATAATATGAGACATTTTTCAGAAATCAATTGCTAACTTAAAATATTTACCTCCTTTACTTCGTAACACTAATTATATCAATTAGGCCACTGCTCCTAATTTACAGATTTTTTGTAAGCCATCGATTATCCATTGAGTAGCATTATTATTATAATGGGGTTAGTTTATAACCAAGCTAAATTTCAAAATAGAGATAGAAATTGCGCAAAATCCATGAAGATGACTTCAATAGATGTTGAAAGATTACAAATATATTTTTATCATACAGCAATGTACAGTATCACACATTTAACGAGTGATGGCAATTTTGTAGATGTATTGCCGCTTTAACACTTTTACTATGTTCGGTTGCTGCATCGAAATTGTTCGCGTATTTATGTGACTGTTTCGATGCAGCCCCATGGACAAATAGCAATCTAATCTATCGGTGGATAAGTTTTCGTCAATGCATGCACGAGAAAGAACAAGGCGCTAGATGATGCTGTCTCGATCTACATTATATATGGTTTTTGATGCTATATATACGAATACGGCTGCGAAAACCAATATGTCTAAAGATTCAAGCCTTTGAAAGCTGCATCGCGTTTCAGTGTGAACCATTACATTGAATTCTAGTATTAAAAATGCGTATTTCTGCCAATGCTCCACCGATGGCGGAGAGATGAAACGAAGAATGAGTTTAGAGGAGACATCTCAATTAATCGTTGTACGGAGAGTATAGCATGTAAATGCTGCATCGACATCTGATGAATAAGTGAATGAGACTGGATCCTCGCTGCTGACAAATGTCGGGTACATTACGGTCCTAATTATTCTAGTAGACCAACTAAATATTCTAACTCCTAGATTAATAAAAATCCTTAAAATACAAAACATTACCATTGTACTAATTCATGGCCACATAATTTATAAAACAATAGTGGGAATGTAAATTATGAGATTACTTAGATAAAATTCGCGCTTCACAAAAGGAAGAAATAATGATTGTTAAATATACATTTACAATAAGTGAATTTGTTGCCGCACCAGCAAAACAGTTTTCATTATATGACAGAAATCAAATTACCATTTTGTTTTAATCAAGTACTTTCTGTTTTGTAATAATAGGATAATCTGATATATCGTTATCTAAATCTTTTTTCGAGATAGGATTTCAACTTTCTAATTTTAGAATGTACTCGTATGATGTGAATGTGAGAATTTTCAAAGTATGATGTTACTGATTTTGAAACGGTAGTAACAAAAACTAGTGAATTTACGAGAGAAATTTAGAAAATAACATTTCAAAATTAGCTCAAAAATCACACCATTTAAAATAGGTTTTGATTATAAAAAGCATAGCACAATTGTCACAACAATTATATATGTATATATAAAAAAAAAAACTTACAGAAAATCACTGGAAGATGGTGATGTTATAAAAATTAATATATAATGATAAAATATATAATGGTGATATTTAAAAAAAGTTTTGATTAAAATTGTTATTGTTGGAAAGCTTTATGTATAAACTGAGTACAGATATTTAAAATTTGAAGTGTCTTCATATATAAAAATATTTAATCAGTGTTACATATTTATTTGGAACATTTTTAATTCATTACCTAATATTCTATTCTATGACTACATTAAAAATATTGTCATGTAAAATTAAAAAATACACACCAACTACTGATAATACAGTCTGAGGTACTGAATTATTCTATTATCACCAGAGAACATTATAAATACTTATATTATATTAAAATTACTTTAAATGCAATAAATCTCAAATATAAATACAGTAATGGCACTTTGTCAGACCATAGGCACATCATGAATGACTTAAATCTCAAATTGAATACCACATATTTCAAAATTTTAATTTCAGAAAATATTTATCTTTGGACTACACTGGAATTTTAATAGAAAAATGGTTATGCTAGCAGTCTATACAGGTTTTTTTTGCTTTTCTTCGAACTTACTGAATACTGACATCTCTTTCTCTTCGAAGGACTAGCATCTTTAAGGCCATATTGTATACAATTTTTGTCCAAATGTCTTTTACATTTACACAGTGCACAAAACTGATAGCAACAAGTTGCATTAATGCATTGAACCCATACTTCACCTGACTCCTCTTTTGTAACCTTAGCAGGATGCTGGCACTGGACACAAGAGAGTTGAGTGCGTGAATCCATTGATGCTGCCTAAACATAAAAATTAATAGGATTACCTATAATGCAATAAAATTTAAACCACACTATGTTATATTACACTCACAGAGATTAAAAGCAGATAGAAAGGCAAGTAACTCTGTTTTGTAACTAAAAATTACCATTAGGTATGATGAATGATAATAATAAACCATTTCTAGAGGATATAAATATAACGGCATATTTTTAAATTACATACCTTAGTAAATTTTTTAAATTTGTTTGTTCTTGGCGATGCCGGAGGAGTTCTATGAGGCAAAATTCTTAATTCACCATTTATTTCTTTCAATGTTCTAACCTGATTGGAATTAGGAAGTTGAGGTACCGTGCCACCAACCCAATTCTCTCTGTTTGTATTTGCAGCATTCATATATTTCATAAAATCCTTTTTATTGACATTATTTTTTCCAATACTGTGTTCCCAAGCTTGCAACCAGTATGGGCTCACTAAAGTAAAATTATATATATCTTGGCTTGATAAATAACTCACTATCACTCTCATTGGATCCAATTGATCTAATTTATGCAACATTTTTATAATATCAACTTTTTGGTTTGGTATATATTCAAAATATTTCAAAGGTCTTTGAAGAGATGGAAGTTTCGGTTTAAGTTTCACTGGTTGTAAAGCTTTCTTCTCACAAGAAAGAGAATGTATAACAAATTCAACTTTTCTTGCAAACTTTTTCCGATGAAATGGACTTAAATTGCAACTAACAGTGCATCTATTTTTCACTGGGGTTACTGGGTAAGATAAAGTAGGAGTACAATTGTCATGGTTGTATAGTTCATTAATGTTATTTGTGTGTTCAAATGTTGTAGAATTTTTAGAGCAGTTGCTAGATTTATACTCATTGACATCCAATCTTTGTATTTCACCTGTTATTATACTTGTTGGAGTACCAACAGAATTAGAAATAATATTCGTATTGTCAACATTTTCTTGATAAGATCTTTTCACGCCACGTCGGATTGGACTGTCTCTATATTCATGTGGAGATGAAATCCTTGAGGTACCAGATCTCAGTTCCAATGGATAGTTAAAGTCAGAATAGCGGTCAAGTTTAATTTGACCACTTATATAAATCTTTGGTGTGACAACATGCGGACTCTCAATCACTGTTCTGGAGCATTCCGTAGAACCGGGCGTGAACGAAGTTTGGTATCCACTGTCTTCAGTTGCAGTTGACCAGACAGAATAGAACGACGGCGTCGCCGGTTCGGACAATGGCATATCCATATTAACTGCTGAACATTACATGGTTTTAATAAGCTAAGCGTAAAATTTATGTTTCATAGTCGATACAATCTTTTTGTGCTTAACTTGTTACAAATTATCACTTAATTACAGCTATGCGACACTTTTAGTTGTGCAAATAATAAATAAATTTTATTTTTGTTGCACTTTTAGACAATTGACAATATTTAAGATTTATTAATGTATAGTAAAATTAAAACGGCTACTATAACAACCAAAAGCTTCGATTTTTTGAATGATTGATTGATGATATTTGATTGACTGTTGACTATGATACAGATGTAAAAAAGCTGTCTACCATAGTCCATAGTATTAAGGATAGTACTAAGAATATAATAGCACCTGCAGCATCGAGTGAGTAACGCTGAAACAATATGTTCTGTGGTTCAGATTCATAGATTTAGAATAATACTAGATGGCATTCTTTTTCTATGTTCAGGTAATAATTCAATGTCAGTCAAGCTGTCAATTATATTACCAGACAGAACAGTCAGTCAAGTTATAGTAAGATAACTTAAAAATTTATAGGTAATTAAAAATGTGTTATTATTGTAAATAGGCGACTCTCGTTTCTACTAAAATTTTTATGATATCTATTATTTAAGAAATTTTCGACTAGCATCAAATTCGAAATAATTAATGCTTTTAAAATTTTCAGTAGTTGAATGCTTATTAAACATCCCTGTGTGATTGTGATTTAGTATTTGTATTATCATGTCTTCATGAAAATTACATTTGGATCGTTAGAAATGGATAATGTAAAAGATCTTTGTAGATTATGTGCCAAAAAGGAAGAGCTATCAAAAGATTTATTGGATGTAAATAACAAAAGTGTATTAAAATTAATTCAAGATTTTGTACAGATAGCCGTAAGTTTTTTAGTTTACTATTATTTATTTTCAACCGACAACAAAAATAAAGGCTCTTAATTCGATTATATATTATTTATGTTTGTTACTTCTAACTCCGTCAGTTGTAAATTGATTTAGAATTTTTTTATCTGGAAGGATATACTTATAGATTAGTTCCATAGGAATTTTATCGAAATTGTTGCATTAGTTCAGTTTTTAGGTAAAAATTACTGGTTTAGTCACAATTGGAAATAATGTTTTTTAATGGGATAACCTTAAATTATGAATTGTATACTATGAATATGTTTTATTAATATAATTTTTTATAAATATAAATTACTAGCAGTCCACCCTAGCTTTACACGGGTACAATATTTGTATATGTAACTTTTAAACTGTTCAAAACATTATAGTAATGTTGGTATTTTGACAAGCGAGAAAGTATTGCATTAATGTTGTCTTAAGATTTTAAAATGAATGGCCTATTTTGGAATTTGATGTGCACACACATATATATAGTCTTTCCTGAATTTAATATAAAATCAAGTATATTTTTAATTTAGACAACTGCTATACAAGCAATTTATTAAGTCATGTGTCATTTGACTTCATTTGCTTTTAACAAAATAATTTCTATTTATTATCTAATAGAAACTTTAATAGATAGTTTATTTCTGGCAATTATCTATGTTAATCTGAGTATATTCACAACTTGTGTTGTAGATTATAGAAAATGATGGGCTACCTACAAAAATATGTTTAAATTGTGAAGAAAAAATAGTATCATTCCAATTATTCATTTTGGAATGTTATAAGGTGCAAGATACCCTTAAAAAAATATATTTAGATAATTTCAACATAAAACATGAAGATGAGTCACTTTTATACACAAATCCTGTTATTAAGTCAGAGGTATGTGTTAAATCCAATATTTGTAGTTTTCTTTTATGATATGTAAATGGAACGGTAAACTCTACTCTGTAAATAACCTTTCCTATTGGTGTATGCTGATGGGGTATCAATAAATGATGATAAATGAGAAAGAAGTCAGGTCAATTAATCCCTCATAGCAAATTCACTGGGAATTAACCACAATAATTTCTAAGGGAGACTACAAGAAGGTAAATCTGTCAAGATATATGCCAATCCCCCATATTTTTATATTTTTTATTAGTTTTTGCAATACTCATATAATTGGTATATCAAAATAGTGTTTTGTAGTTTTGTAGTGTATTGTCAAATCTAAAAACTTCCAACAAAAATTATAGTTTGAATATCAAGAGACATAAAAAGACACAATATAACTGGTGTCTTCAGATATTCTTATAATGTTTTTAAGAATTAAGATAACAATTTTGATTTACTCTGATACATTTAAAACTTATGGGATATGCTACTTAATTTTATTATTAAATATTGAATTTAGTGCAACACTTTATTCATAGCAACTCTATTGGACCTTGGCATTTTCATTGGGTTTTGGCACCTTCAGATGCTGCCTAACTGTCCACCTCACCGGTATTATCCACACAGAGATACTATTTGAGTTGAAACAGAAAAAAAATTACAATAATTCAGCGATTCATTTTCCAATTTGCCATTTAATAATTCTAATAATATGTAAAATACAATAAAGATTTCTAGATGTAGATATATTTTATTTCATTTATTCTGTAATTGATGTTAATGTATATACACATTTACTATAGGTCAAAGATGAACTTACTGCTGAAGATATTGTGTTAGGTAAGTTTTGATATTATTTGAAATATAATCATTATGTTAACATACTTTGTTACTTACAATTTACATTTAAGCTATTTAATTAAAAATCGTAATTGTTGTTCATCATCATAATGTTTACTAAGAATATATCATTTTTCAACTAAATAATATAAAATTTTACATGTTTTCTTTTTTTTTACAAAAGGATTTACAATATACAAAGTATTTCATTTTTTTAGGTGCTATTGATAATGAGATATCTGAGTATGATGGAGTAGACTTTTCAGTATTTGATGATCATAAAAGTGATGACACTGGTGATGATGACGACGAGGCGGACAATATTACTTTAGCTTCTTTGAAAAAAGAAAAAGGGAAACATATTAAGAAAAAAAATATTAGTGAAGAAGCTGCTGCAGACTTTAATGAACTATTGAAAAAATCTAATTTAAAAGTAAAAGACTTTGTCAAGTGAGTGTTGCTTATCTAAACCAGAGTAGACATTACATTATTATTTTTAATAGATTGGACAAAAGGTCGTCTTCTTGCATGTTTACAATTTTAGTTATTTGAACATAACATTTTATCTATCAAGTTTAGATATTCAATTATAAATGCATGTAATATAATTAATTGAATTTCATTGAAGATATTGATAAGTCCAAGAAAGCAAAGAGAATGATAATGCTCAATAATTTATTTTATATTTTTACAGACTGCATTGTGATATGTGTGATCTGAAAATGAAGACATGGAGTGAGTTGACTGTCCATTATGGCAAAATACACAAAAGGAAACCCTATGTTTTATGTATCTGTGGGTACATAATCCACTCTAAGAGTGTACTATATAAGCATGTTTCGGACCATAAAATAGAAAGTAGCAAGTTACACAATACATCGCAAGATATGGGAAAACCAACGAATGTTAATTATTCTTCACTCAAGATCCGTGATTTTGTTGAGTACGTAATTACATCTAAAGAAATTACCAATTTAAAATAGACCTACAGTGTTGCTATTTGTCTAAATTATGTGGCTTATCTAAATTTTGTATTTACAGTTTTACGTGTAATATTTGTAATAAAAAGCATTCCAGTTGGTACAGATTAAAATCACACACTTCCTACAATCACAAGGTACTGCCTGTTGTTAAATGCATTTGTGGTATAACGCTTAAATCGAAATCGGTTCTCTATAAACATATTCAAGATCATAGAAATCCAAATGTTTTATGGTAAGCAATATCAACTAATTCAACCAACAAATATATACTTCAGACTTTTTTTTATTTATAGTTGACTTAACTATGTATGTTTTGTTTTTAATTGTATTTGATTCAGTTATCTATATTGTTAATCGATAAGATTTAATATACATAAACATTTTAATTAAAAACGAAGGTTTTTAACAAGCCAAAGTAGTTTTTTTTTTTTTTTTATAATAATAGTCTATAATATTAATTTACAGTTGTGACAAATGCCCTCGAATAACCAAGACTGTTGAAGCTTTAAATAAACACAAAATGAGACATGTTCCTAAATCAGAAAGAAAGTTCTATTGCAATTCTTGTGACAAAGTGTTTAATACGAAAGATGGTTTAAAATCTCACGAAAAATCTCATATACCAATTGAAGAAAGAAAAATTTATCATTGTGAAGTATGTAACCTCAAGTAAGTTTTTGTCTTTTAAACTCGGAAGTCATCTTCAATGTTATATATTCGCCTTGATTCAATGATGTTTGATAAAGATCATGTCAATGTTCTTTTTAACGGGTTATCGCAAATCTTATTTGTTATTATTTATGTGTTATATAAGCATACTTAACCTAACCTACAGGGGAGGCCCATGTTTAGCAGTGAATAGCTGACGGCTGATATCATCATCATGAGCGTACTTTTAACTTTTAGGATTACAGAATAGATTACAGAAAACTCTCTGTCATTCTCTGTGTTGTATGGTCATGATTTAACAGTTACTTTACACTGTTTTCACAGAGACTATATTTTTTTTATACAATTTATAATGGCAAACAAGCTGACGGCTCACCTGATAGAAAGTGGTAATTGTAGCCTACGGGCATGAACAGTACCATGGATGTAACAGAGTATACTGTGTCACCGATGATACCCTGCTCATGCGTTTTTCCTATTCCCGAGGACTAAGGTGCCTTTATACCCTGTAAGTTTATATTATTAAAAAAAAAAATCTAAAACTATAGACATTAAAGCAAAATTATTTATCGATGACATGCAGATTTACGACGCGGTCCTCAGCTGCATCCCACAAACGCGTAGTGCACGATAAGATCAAGAGTTACGTGTGTGACTTGTGTGGCTATGCCTGCGGCACCAGCGGCGAGCTGCGACAACATCGAGCTATACACAGTGATGACAAACCCTTCGTTTGCGGAAAGTGCTTTAAGCCGTAAGTTTAGGATAATATCTCATGTTAAAATACTCATCTTGATTTTATTACATCAATAATAATCAATTTACAGTTCACCCAATATAAACTACAAGAAACTTAGAAACCCCTACTATACTATATATATATATATATATATATATATATATATATATATATATATATATATATATATATATATATATATATATATATATATATATATATATGTATAGGGTGACTGTTGTCTATATGTAGCTAGTTTGCAATCTAGAAAAAAATATTACAATATCGCTCATACAATGACATATATTTGATATTATACGTGACCTGATTAGCTAATATTTTTGTTCAAAATTATTTCTCAATATTTAATCCTTTATTCATTTTTCTATTTTGGAATTTTTTTTTTATATTTTTTATTGTAATGTTACAGGTTTAAGACACATTCGAACTTGAAGACTCATATTGATACGCACGAAGATACATCGTATACATGCGATGTTTGTAATCGTGTTCTCAACAGTCGACGCACACTAAGAAAACATTTGCTCGTGCACGAAGAAAAATGTAGGCATGTTTGCTCATACTGTCATAAAGCTTTTAAAAGAAGACAAACACTAAAGGTAAAGATTTTCATAAAATCTTTTGAAATATCATATTCGTTTTGGAATATTGTCATGATTAAAAGAGCGAAATATGTGAAAAGATATAGTGATTACTGTAACTTTTACTGATATAATGCCAGTTTCTGATATGGCACCACTTTTAGGAATGATATGGGGAGGTGCTTAAAATGCTTAATCTTTTTAAGTTATAATTATGTAGTTGAAATAATGAATTATTCGCTATTTTAATTACTTTATTATTTATTTTATACCTATTAAATATAATATAAAATACACAGTTTCAAGAAAACATGGCAATCGATGGCCGACCACTCTCTTATTTCAGTAAAGCAGTCCTGGATTGTCTACCTAACTTAACCCCTAAGTTATACACAATGCACCCAATATAACAAGTATCCTGCGCCCGCATCAAATAGTTAGGACGGGATGCCTAAACAACTGCACCTCTAATGAACCTATTTCTACCTGTACCTACACTTGATACAAGATTTATAATATTTGAATACTCATACCATCCCAATACTTGGTAGTATAGCGCATACCAACATATGAGCGACATAATATAACCTTTGAAATCTATAATGTTGTTCATATCAATGGACGCAAAAGTTCCATTGCGTAAAGAGCTTCCCAAATTTCATCGGCCCTCACATTAAATCCAATAACTTTAATCCATCCTATAAATTATTGACTGAGTATTTTTAATGGGTGATAATGGTATGGTAACCCCGTCTGCGCTATTGGTATACACTGGCGGGGCACCAGTGAGGGATGACAGATGAAGATGAAAGTAGGTCAGTTAGCCCATCCTGACGAATTAAACTAGAATTAGTCACGATGGTTTCCAGGGGGAACCACGTGGAGGTCGACCTGACAGGGTATATTGCTAGTAATAGGGCTATTTGACCCCATTACTAACAATCCCTTTCCACCCCTGACTGAGTATTTGTACTTATATAGATGTGTGATGACAGACTTATATAGACAGATGTTTTTCAGGTTCACCTGTATACTCACACGGGCGACAAGCCGCTGTCTTGCAAATGGTGCAGCGAGCGGTTCGCGTATGCGTCAACACTCCGCTCACACCGATTGCGCTGTCACCCGGACAAGCTGGCCGCGCAGCCCGCACACTCATACCAGCCCTACCGACATCTGCCCGCACAGGAGGTAGCTGTTATTAAAATTATATGATATCTTATATTTTATATCGTATATTTTATTAATATAAGATACCTTTGGCCCTCAAATTCGAATAACTGAATATTGAATGTAGATAACTACTTCAGGGGGGGGGGGGGTTAATTGCTAATAATGGGGACGTTAACAACTATTACTATTCTTACTATTTCTTTTATTTGCTATGTTATATATTTTTTCTTTGCTATGTCTACTTGAATTAATATATAAAGTATATTGTGTAATATAAAATATACTTTAACTGTCCAAGCGTGAAGGGATAGTAAAATGTAACTATCTTCCTATACTGCACATTTGTTATATTAATAACTCGTATATGTAGCGACTTAAAATGCATTACACAATCTATCTTTCGCAATTTGTTGAAAATCGGATAATAATACTCCAGACTTAATTAATTATTATGATTAATTCTCTCAATTGTACATTTCAGGATTATATCAAGAACGACTTAGTGACTATTAACGGAGCAAAGAATGAAACAGAGGCTATGTAAAAGTAATTCGTTTAAGTTATAATCTAAGGTTTAAGTATATAATACTTTTATAGATAAGTAGCTCATTTACATTATACTTATACATTCTCTTTATTATAAAACAATGTATATAGTACCACACAGTTCGAAACGTAATAAAACTGTATTACAAAATACAATGGTTTAATTATTTTATTTTTCCAATTTTTATTATGGTGTTTAAGGAATTGGGAATAAAAGATGCATTACTAACTCGGAATGTTGGCCGCGAACTTTGGGAGGATAAGGCAAAGCGGAGCCAGCATACACAAAAAGTCAATTCTAATAAAAAGGTGCGTAGTTTTATTTCTCAACAAAACAACGAAGTTAGTCGCTATTTCGACAGAATCTTGTATACTAAATGCGTTTTTCTAATTTTCAAACGAGTCCAATCAAGTAACATTAATTCACATTAAAATTGACATTGCAGTTTGCTATTTTTGTTTTTTTTTACAATTATATAATAGCTTATAATTCTATTATGACGTAATCTACAACAAAATCCTTAATATCAAAAAATTTAACGCGCATGCTGTTTATTATATTTTTATACTTAAAAAAAAAATACGCATTCAACCTTCTCTGTCCATGGTACTGCTCGTGTTTATAGGCGACGGTTATCACTTTCCATCAGGTGGGCCGCAAGCTTGTTTGTTCATTCTAATTTGCATAAAAAATACCCACTTATAAACTTTTTAGCAGTCGGAATTGGTTCAAAATTTATGATTTCAAGAATAAATAAATAAAAAATTGAATTTTTTTTTTATTATTAGCAGAGGGAAGCCTTTTTTGCCACTGCCTGTTACCTATTGTGCCACTAAGAATCAGGAAACGAGACGGGATCTTTAAATAATTAAGGAAATAATTATTAAGGATTTTGGTATTTGTGATAGTTTGATATTATTAAGAAAAATAATGGAAGCTAAGGAGTTATTGGTCAAAGAGTCAGGATATTTATAATTTAGAATGATTAGCGAGTTATTTTTTTGAGAACCGAAAATAACCGATTGACGTATTGTTTATTAAATAACTAGTTTTTACCACGACTCAATTTCTTTGTAAGTTTTCAAATCCTAGAAGGATTGGAATATAATGCAAATGAGCACGGAGCTCATCTGATGGTAAGTGATTACCGCCGCCCATAGACACCTTATACATTAGAGAAACTATAGGTGTATTGCTGGCCTTTTAAATAATTCGTTTAAATATTATAAATAATAAATAGATCCGAATTCCATTTCAGTGGTAAACCCACTGGGGTTATAAAATGAAATTTCGAACTTTCGGATTCAGTTTCGTGTTTTTATCCGTACCAAAATCAGCCCAGTAAATTCAGCTTGACACTTTATTCGTCCTAAATGTCACCATAAAAATCCAAAGAAATTATATTTAATATTATTTATACATATGCCTTTATACATTAACTTTGTTATATTTTTATATATTATCAATGTGTACAATAAAGTGTAAATAAATTATTATTTTTATGGAAAGGTATGTAATATTTAATTTTAACATCAAATTTGTTTCGTTCGAACTCGAAATTTTGAAAAACATTTTGTTGTAGACTCTCTTATCTTGCCGATAGCATGCCGCTGCCGGTCTCCCGTATAAACTTTTAATTTATACGCGAGTATATGTAGGGAATGGAAAAGGTTAAAGCTAATATATATATTTATACACACGTATATTATTTTTTAAAATAACGTTGCATTCCATAACTGAAAAATGTAATGATCGATATATAAGCACAATATTTAGGAAATATTCTTCGAATAACAAAGGCCGAAGTAATTAAAAATTCCTTTATACAATCATATGTACCCCGCGACGCGATATTTATTATGAAGATTTTTTTATATACCGACTCATCTCTTAAATAAAGAGGTCAGTAGGTATTATTGTAAGATCCAGGATTCGTATAGATACCTTTTTGGTTACACATTGTAAGATTTACTGTACATTAAAGTTTTAATAAATAAATTTCTGTGAGTGACTGGCATTTTTAACTGCCTATCTATTGTCTACGCTTGTTTGTCTATATTCTAGTTTATGACGTTTAACAGGTTTCATGATATCACTAACGTGTGTAGCAGATCCCTACAATAAAGATTCGAGAATATTCTCATTTCGAAAACATTTTTTATTGTCAATCTATATCTTAATCTAAATTGTTACCTACCTAATTCCAATAACAGAAAACTAACAAAATGAAGTGGTATCATTTAATTTCTAATGGCTATATAGATACTAGTCATTGTGATACCTATGTCTATTAGATCTCAATACAATAAAGAAATCCAATTTTCTTTCAAATTGACAAGACATTTGAAAGCTCTAATACCTACGAGTGATCAATATAGCAAAAATAATTGAAATAAATACAGCATATATAAGGGTAGGTATATGTGATTAATACAGGGAGAATACCGGTGTTTCTTACTAATACAAATTGTCAAAAAACCTTAAAAAAGTTATGTTATCTAATTTTTTATTACTATCATAGCCCAGATAATGTAGTCCGTATTGCAATAACCATAATTATTATTACGCTTCTATTTCATATAAGAAATACAATAGATAAACCTATTTGTTGATAAAGTCATTTTTATCACATATCTATAAACTTAATAAAACCTATTTAATAGAAACCTAATTAATTATGTACGGAACCCTTTGCGTGTGAGTTTAATTCTCACTAGATCGCTTTAGTCTTTAAATGGAAAGGTAAATTCGTGTGCCATATTGGTCTACCACGGTGGCTTGTAGAGGGAACAGAGTGATGTGAAAGTTAGGTGGTCTGAATTGCCCACAATGAGGCTGCTAGTCTCCATTAACTACACGTCGTATAATCTGAAGAAAATAATGCAAAATTTCTTATTTATCTACCAGTTAAGAAATAAAAATAAAACACGTACACAAATATCGAAAAATACCTAATTGAAAATAAATCTTAATACAGGTGTTTCACCGGCACGTGAAATAGATAGCGGCTACCCAATATCTTATTACAAATGGGATTTCAGAGTCGAGGACGGCTATATTTTATTCCTTTTACGCCTAAAATTGGCAAAGAGAAATAGTTTTCAACGGCGTCACTTCAGTGATCCGTATTTTTTAATGGATTATAATAGAATGGTAATCCCGCTTGAGCTATTGATTTACGTTGAGATAGATGTCAATAACAGCTTAAAATTCCGCCGCTGAATTCTGCAGGTTAATTAATTGTGGGAATTCTTATTTATAAAACCTAGTTTAAGTGAAAGATGAGAGAAAATACAATACAAACCACCCGAATTTCTTGTTCTCAGATAGCCGCAACCTAGGGTTAGTAGGTAGAAATAGGTAATAATTTTGGTAAACTCATGTTTTTTAATAAGATTAACAACTAACGGAAATTTATTCTTTCCTAAACATAGTTTCCTATAAAAAATGGCCGCAAGTAATGGTTGTCACCTGGCAACTTAGTTGCAGTTCACTCACAGCGGAGAAACACTGTATTATAATTGCGTATATTTTGCAGTCATCATTCGTATATCGTATCCATAGACTTAGTATAACGTACTACGTACTATCATATAATTCTGTAAAAAGAACCTATCTGCAAAATTTCAGTAAATTCACGTTATATATTTATACGTTATAATAAACGTTGATATATTGGTCAGTCACTCAATCGGTCCCCTTTTATATATGATATATACAAAAACTTCGGGATCTGCAGGTATAATAGATAAAGAATTTGACCATTACCCTTAGAATGAGAATGTACGAATTTTTATAATTGCAGGTTGTGTATACTATTTGATTTATACTATATCCAAGTCCAGACCCATCTTAACCTGTGGGTACATGGGATGAGTGGCCACTTAACCAACTGTCTCAGCATACATTGAAACAGATTATAATATCATTGCTTATACCCTGAAATATTGCCTGCGAGTATTAACTGGTAAAAGTAGCAAGTAAAATATATTTTTTATCACTATATTTATCGAAACAAGTAAACTATAATGCTGACGCGAGAGGCAATGGACCCAAGCAGATGGTTCTAGTAAACAGAACACGTATAGTAAAGGAGAAAACTCATTTCGAAATCGGAGATACGAGTATAATCGATACAATTCATGAAATATTCAAGGGTTGATTTCAGCTATCTGCCATCCTCTATAGATTTTTTATGCAACTTTATTTTTGATCTCCATGTAGTGACGAGTATGAATAAAGTATGTTACCTCTCTTTTCGTCTCCAGGATTTCATAAAAGGTCCAAGGCCTTAAACACTAATGCTAGGGAAAAAATTCCAAACTGTTCAATAAGCATGGTAACGGTACCTACTACTCCTGTAATGGGAGAAGCCCGTGCCCAATAGTGGGACGTTGATAAGATCCTATAGTGATGGTTATTTTTTATACACATACATTATGGACAAGCAAGTTAAAGTGAAATGAATCGGTATTGGCCGTGGATCCGTATAGAGATAAGGGTTGTCACGCATCAGCGAGCTGGCACGTCGCCAGACAGCAGCGCGCCCTCCCGTCGACTCCGCACATAACGATTTAATGTGTAGTAACGCTGTATAAACGACACATTAGTTACGTCATGATTTCTATTATCTAATAGAAATATACGGACCGGGACGACCGTTCCACAAAAGATACCATTATAAGAGGGTTCTTTTAATGATGTCTTTTGTTGCTAAATGATTCTTGATTTTGGACTTTGTAAATACTGAATGATGACTTCATATAGCTTGCAGAATTCTACGTATGTAAATGCCGCAGGTTCGTTACTTGTCGTAGTCTATGCAAGAAGTTTATATTAGTCTCAATAGTAAAACGATTGTGATAAATGAATGTATATTACCACATATATATAATCACTAATGAAATAATTATACTATCTACTAGTTTATACTTTATAAAACTTAACGAATAAAAACGGTTTTTTTGTCTCTTTAATTCATCTCTTTAATTTCGTTACTTCACGTAGGAAATTATTTTTAGATTTTACTATGTCAGCATTGTTAACAATAAGTATCAACTCAGCGTTGCCATTTATCCCCGATTTGTCCTCGTTTGAAGGACATCTAGTCCAATGACGTTCTTGTAAGGTTTTATAATTTATATATTTATTATAATACACTCTGAATTGTAAAGTTTTATATCTAAAATAAGAAATCGAAGAATATCCTAATATTTACCCCTATATAATATAGGTACTACAATAAAATTTTCTGTATACAGGAATCATACAGTTATGTAATTTTATTTTTAAAATTGGTTTTATTTTCTTTTCAGCGTAAATTAAGTAAGTATTTATAAACAGAAGTGAAATTTGGAATACAAACAAACCATATCCATTAATTGATTATACAGTTACGTAACTTGGTTTATCGTTATGGAGGGATTACCTATGCGCTATCATATCGTCTAACAAATTAAGCTTTTAAATAGAGGCTTAACTCGGAGTTACGTGGGTTATTGAGACAAATGCATAGATTAGTTTTATATTCCATCTGAATTAGAAAGGATCTGTATAATGTTCACCTTGCCATGTCTAAATAAACATTGATAGTTATGGCTATTGTATCCATTTTATTTAGAAATAATTGTGTACCCACAGCTTTGTTCGCAATACAACTATAAAAATCCTATGTTCTCCAAGTCTAATATTATGTGTATACCAAACTTCATAAAAAAAAAATATGTTCACATTTATAATATTCAGGTGAACGTGGGTTTCTAGATTTTATTACAACTTTTACCTACGACTTATCCACGTGACCAGAGTAAATTGATCGGGACAAATACTCGTAGTGGCCTATGTCGTTCTAAATCCGATATAAGTACATACACATATATAATGATATGTGCCAAATTTCAACAACGATTGGTTAGCTGTTAAAGCACCATGAGATAATAAACAAACACACTATCATACTTGCAATATTAATAAGGATGGCAAGACAGCAGCCATTTTATTTAGATACGCTCGTATATTTACTTATCATAAATTGGGCGTAATAATTTCTAGATAGGGTGTGACGACTCTCTCCATAAACGTACTTAATTATGTTGAATTAACACCATAATAGCGAATTACTAAATTAATGGCTTTTGTGAGTTACAGTATTTTCCTTCATTTTATGATGCGTGAATATTTTCCTATTCGTCCGTGGATATTACTTTATATATAGTGCGTTTATGGGAAACTATTTATTTGTTTAAAGGTGTACGTACATAGTGGCGACTAGTAGGTATTTATGGGAGAATGTGAAAGAAAGTAAAAATGCAATTGAAATACTAATAGGCCCTATGAGGAATCTACGGAGTAAATATGAAAGGCTATTACATAATCGGTAGGTACTTACAATAAATCTCAAAGGGAGTTGGTTCGAAAGAAAGTGTAGGAAAAATAAAAATGGACATGGATACGTTGGTTTAGACATATGGAAATAATTTTCGGATGAAAGACTAATAAAATAAATATGCAATGAGAAAGTGAAGGTGCTACTGAGGAAAATATAAACGTAAGTTATCATGATCAGATAAAACAAGTATAATATTATCTGACGGAAATGTTTTGTTACTGGAAATGGCGTGCTTATATATGAGACGAATCATAAAAGTGGATAATGTTGTAAAAACACAATGTTGAGTGTGTTTGGCACTTGCTTGTCTCTACTTACTCTCTTTGTGAAGATATATGTATAGAAAACGTCAAATCTTCTGATGTATTACATTTTGTTATTGGATAAATATAATATTAACAAAATATTACAATATGTTCATACAATATATACGTTTTATAAAATTTGTTTTATTTTATTATTATTATGTCAGCCGTTAACTGCCCACTGCTGAACATAAATCTTCCTCATAGGGGGAGTTTAGCCACTAATTGCCATGCTTGGCAGACGTAATAGCAACCGCAGTTAAGCTTTGGTGATTTTTTAAGAGAGACGCTGCTGCCCATCTCTCGACCATTGTGTTCCTTTAATTGCCTCTTACGACAACCACGGGAATGGAAGTGGCGGATCTTTCTATACCGAGACGCCCCGGCAAAAAAAATGTCCTAGATATTTGTGACTACCGGATTGGTTTTTTCTGTAAAGTAAAGAATAATTTCGATCAGTCATTTTTAAATGGATGCCCATCTGTTTATTAAAAATAAAAGAAAATATTAGTTTAACTTTAAAACTAGGGGGTTTTATGAAAATCGGTCAAGCAAATTAAGGAAACAACCAGAGTTTTTCATTAATGATGTTTATGAAAGAATATTGTACAATAACTAGTTTTAACTTATAATATTTATAAGAAAGGAGTTGATTTCGAGCATCGTCCGGACTAAGCATCATAATTTAATCTGTGAATATTAACATTGTGTATTGTCAGCATAAATTGGAATAATTTTTTTATACATCGGTAAATATTTTAAATTGGATAAAATAATAATAGCTACATCGCAATATATTATGTGAGCTGTTCCTATCTTAACACGCCGATTAATAGAATCTCCACTTTAAAAGCGGGGTTTTGTCAGAAAATGCCACGCTTGGCAGATGGGTTGGTAACCGCAGTTAGTAGCAGTTATTAAGTTCCCTTAGTCGCTTCTTACCGCACCCACGGGAAAAGAAGAGGTGACACATTCTATTTATACATACGATATTATAGAATACTTTTATTATAGATGGAGACTGTACAAAAGTTGTTTGCTTGGGCACCTCTGTCCCATTCGTGTTTTTACCGTGAAGCAGTTGTATTTGCACGGCTGTGTTTGGGTTTGAAGAGTGGGATATGGCAGTGAATTTACAGGGTACAAAGGAATAATACCTGAGTCCTCAGGAATGGCAACGCATGGGGGGTATCATGAGCGAAACAGTATACTCTGTTATGTCCATGGTACTGTTCATGTCTATAGGCGACGGTTACCACTTTCCATCAGGTGGGCCGTCAGCATGTTTGCCGTTCTAAGTTGCATAAAAAAAATTGAAGTCTATTTTTTCATATATAGAATACATAAATATATATCTTTTAATTTTGTGATAGCAACTGGTAGAAGAAGTCAAGAAGACTATGTATAGTCAAAATTTGTTCAATGTAGCTTATTTATATCTACGTTTTTTCTTTCAATAATACTTGGATAATACGGAAATAAAACCCTTTTACAGAACAAGCTGTCTGTAAATTATGTTAGATCTTCCAACTATAGAGCAAGATATGCCCAGCAGTGGATTTATGCAACGTGGCAGTGAAAGGGCACAAATACCTAATGGTTTTTAGTTACTGTATTCCTTAATTTTTGGATCATATGCATCATTTTATCTAGACTGTAAGCCATGGATTATCTAAGGATTAAAAACAAAAATAAATAAAATTTGTCTTTAGTTATCTACAATACCACGTAAAGAAACTGTTTCTTTAATAGCTAATGAATCTGTAGATAAGTACGTTTATGCACTTGCTTGATAAATAGATAGAGAAATAGAGAATAATAAATATATTGTCATTTGTCTACAGAGACTGGTGTATATACAAGGATAAAAAACCCTGAAATATTTAAAAGGCAGCATAGTTACTAAATCTAACAGGAGATCAATGAAAAGACGTAAGAGAGAAATGTTTGTATTGGTTTTAGAAAAAGGAAAAAATATATTTGCAATCCATCCATAATATTGGACCGTGTTATTTGGGATTCCTGTGAAATAGAATGGAATGTAATGCAATAAATATGGCCGGGCAGGTAGGGTCAGAGTATTTCATATGCGGTGTTTACCGTCTTCGGAGCAAACATGCAAGATTACCCACGGAATACCCAAGGGCAAACCCTTGTTGTATCTGGATCACGAACTCGCAAGAATGCAATATAAAGTATTATCGAAATTATCATGGCAGTCTAAAGTAATTACTGATTAATTTAAAAAAAAAACCTTTTATATTACCCAATGAAATTGACCGCAATTTATCACAAATACAGAACCAATGGAAATAGACTGCTTCGTGCCTCTATTCTCGTCACGTTAGGGAAATCGTTGGCATTATAAGCATAGAGTAAAATTTAAGTAAAGATACAGGCGTGCAGAGGGTCCGCGCGAGGGTAGAGGGGTGCGACGGGTGCCTAGTGCCTCAGTGTCACGGAGGCTGCGGCCGATATTGCCGCCCGCCCTGCACTGCGTCGCCGCCCTGCCAAAACATTACTAAATTCTTTAAAAGTAAACCATTTATTAACAATTTACAACATTTCTTTATTATTAAAAGTGTTTAAAACGGGAATAAAAGCGAATAAGTATATTCCTATGTAACTATTTGACCATCATTACAAAGGAAATTAAGTCCACGTAATTTTGTTTAGTGGTGGCATGAGATGAGCTACTAGTATTTTACCGTTTTTGTGAATTACATAGGATCGTATAAGGTTTATGTTAGCGTATGGTAAAGGACGTTTTAATGCGAGCTCCATTCTTACGTAAGTAATGTATTTCTCTTAAATATATTTATTATAAGCAATAGAAATCATTTACAACAACGCACATGTCATATGAATTGAACAAATGGAATTGTTTATGTTCTGAAAACTTAACTGAAAATAGATTTCGAATGCAAATCAGCCGGGTAAAGTTTATCCGAGGTCTGTAGCAGGTACTTGTGATTTGAAGAGGGTCGCCTCTCGAGGTGAGAGCTACTACAGCTTGTCCAATTATAGATGTTTTCAACGAGAGGTGTCCGCCCCTCACATCATTGATAATAAGTATTCGGGTTACTTTGTTGTTTTATATAGTAAATTTATATACCTTTAGATTTCCCTTACAGGGTAGGCGTGCAAAGAGAACCGAGTGCTTCACCAAAACTGATCTTACATATATATTATATTTTGCTCCATATGTATATTACAGAATTAATGTTACAATCGACATTATGTATATAGAGAGTGAAAAACTATCTTGTATAATACGTACTTAATACAATACGGTGAAAAGGTAAAACACTTATTTTACGTAATAGTCTCTAAAATAATATTTCGAATTCGAATAAACTTGTGAAAATGACAAATGTCTCAATATAGGGCCCCAAATTCTATATACATACATAGATGCCATTAATAAGTATTTACATAACATTACGCTAGTACCTATGTTCGTTACCATATTTTACTGTCTGCTACTTTGTATCGTACATTATAATTCCTTGTTGTCATTATGTGTAAAATTATATATTTAAGTTCGTTAAAACTTAAATATTGTCTATTAGTATGACCAATAAATATTATCTAATAGTATCAGGGTGAATATTTTAAATGCCACTGCTTTACATCATTTTACTATAATGTATGTTAAAATAATACTTTTTTTTTCATTTTATACAGACAAGTATATAACATGAATGAATAAATATACTTATATACCAATTTACAAAAATATATAATACTTGACAAGAATATATTACTTATAAATTTGTCATTGAAGCAGTGCCAAAAAAGAAGTGAAACTTAGAAACAAAAATAGTTCTGGCTTTATTACTAAGTAGTAAGACAGTGAGAAATTGAAGAGGCGATATGAGAGGCCGTATAAGGAGTTCGCGCTTTTTGTTAATGGCGACTGCGTTGATACTGTCATTAATTTCCGCGTGTTTCTGCGAACTTAGTTCGACGACTCATGATGAGATTAAAACCGCCTCAAGTTCTCAAGCACCGTTGACAGCTGCTTTTGTCCAGACTAAAGTAAGCACAGAACCATTAGACACTACTGTGGCGCCGACTTCTACGTTATTAACTACAAGGGAGAACACTAAAATAACAAAAGCGTATGCCGTTAGCGAGCGCCCGACTACGGCTCGTCATTCAACGACTAAAGTATACGCGAGCACAAAAGCCATAGTGAAAAGTGCAAGAAGGCAGAAGTTAAAAACTAACTCTAGTGCACTCGGGAGCCCGGCACATTCACCAGCGCGCCTTCAAGAGCGACTAGGGGCAATAGATTGCGATCTGCCCGTGCTGCCGGGAAAGTCGCGCCTGTGGCGAGGCAACGAGACTCACGAACTCAATTTCCCCGTCACGGTAAGATAATAAGAAGATTTTATGTGAAATAGGAACTAAATACAATTTTATTAAAGAACTTAATTAATATTAAGAACTTTATTTTAATAAACCCCCCGTTTTGGGGGAGGCTTATATTCAGCAGTGGACGGTTAACGGCTAGATGATCATGATAGATGATATAGGTATTTTACTCATTTGTGTATCCATGATCATGGATAGACATATGTAAAGAGTTTTAAATTATTTTAAGTTACTTAGACATACATAATTAAATTTCATTTAATTAAATCTGCGGGTTAATCTGGTTTAAATATTTTATTACTTAAGCAGACCTGTTTCAAATGAGAACTTAAATAATTACTTGTAAATAATAAATTTGTCTAAACGGCATGAAGAGGAAAAATGTTTGCAATTATTATAAAAAAGAAATTTTCTGTAGGATGCTTCAAGTAGTCTCTACGTATAACAGCAGAACGTTATATAACTTCTATTCATACAATGTCTTGTCTTATGTTCCCCTATTTCGGAGCATAATATTCTTGTTCGCAAAGTTTGATCGTGACAGCAGCAGCGAACAGCGCGAGGTCAAATACATAAACCATAAATCGTCTTAGTAGAGGAGAAAAAAGGGAAAAGCTTTTTTGCTTCACTAGTTGTACTCTGTTCATTACTTCTGTTAAGGAAAATGTCTAAAATCTTTATTTATATACGATGCTGTGGCGGGATTCCTATTATGGAACTATGAGATCTTCCACTTACGTACCTAAAAAAGATAATGAACGCGCTCGAGTTCTTACTAGAATGTAATTAATTCAGTTTTTAAAGCTTATTTATAGGCATGTTAATAATTTTATATCTTTAGATTTTTTATAATAAATATTAATCCCACATTTTTTTTTCTAAACCACTTTAAATTTTCAATACATTTACGTTTTGTAACAAAAGAGTTTTATTTATATTGTTATTAACAACCAGGAATAGCTTCACTCACACTAATCCCTTCGATTTTCATAATAGAACTAATCTACTTACATATTTTTATTTCTTCTTAGTGGAAGAATGTTTTATTTGCTCAAATAACATAATATGGTAACGACGTTAGACTTTAATGATTTAATAAAAACAAAGTATATATGAAACTAAACTTCATTAAAAATAACAAATGATTCTGAACCTTACACTCGATTCACACAAATACACATCCAATAAAAAGAATGATTTCGTAAATATTGATATTTTCAAAATTATCAAAATTAATTATTTAAATGGATTATATTTCCCTTACTTAAATGCTTTTTTTGTTTTTTTTTTTTTAATGCCATTAGAGATTGAATATACTCGTACTTAATGGCTACACTGAGATTGGATACTGAGTGGAGATTGATGGATGATACAATTAACTGTTCCTTAGGTACTGATCGATTAAATCCCGAGGGCGAATAAAAAAGAATTGAACCAATGTCATTTAAAGAAAAGCTTACACCTAATAATAATAACGTTTGAAATAAGTTTGATAACTCTTGTAATATATTTATATTAATTATACATTTATATTTGTGTGTATATAAAATTAAATACAATCATCAGCTATGTATAAACTTAAATTTTGTCTAGTTCTATTTCGTCTGTAAATTGTCGCTATGTATACAGCTCGTTCTACCCGCTGATTTCGATCTTCTTTTCCACTTTGGGTTTGCTGGAAGAGAACTTTTGTAAAGTTAAGCTCACCTTTGTACATTTGCTTTCCACTGCCATGTCTCTGTATATTTTATTAGCACATACAGTAAGGTATAAATAAATAAATATTTACGAGATAGGTATAATAATACAACGGAATCAGTGCATTCATGTAGATATATTGGATTTATCCCCTGGCACCGAGTCTGTTACGAGTATTACGTAATATGATATTATACAAGCATTCATACATAACTCACGCAGACAAAGTCATGTGTTGTAGCTTATAGATAATTAAATTGTTCGTATTCCACCATAGTCTTCAGGGATGACAAAGCATAAGGAGTACCATATATTCGGAAATATCCATGGTGCTATTTATGTATACAGGTGAAGGTCACCTCTTTCGGTCAGGCCATCTTCAGCTTGTTTTCCTTTCTAAATATTATAAAACAAATTCGTATCATAATACGGATTTCTTCCAAATTACTGTAGTAATATTGGAATGCAACACATCAATTTTATATTTTAATTTACCTTTGTGTTTTACAATGTTGATGGCGGAGGAGTGCACGGGGGCTGCTAATGGCGGTAGCGGCGGTGGAGGTGCGCCATCTCCTGGTGCAGCCGATGAGGAGTGCCCCCCTGTCATCGTCTCTTGGGAAGGCTCCACTGATATACAGAGTGGAGATATACTTATCGTTCGCATTTCGGATTCGATGCTTCTTGATACCAACTATCAGGTTAATTCGAAAAATACGACATTTGATAACAATTTAACTCGCGGCGATACCGAGAGGTAAGTTTTTACAAATTACTTTTGTAATTATATAACCTATTTTTAATTTACAAATAACTTTATTAACGTTATTAGGTATATTTAGTTAGCTGAATTATTGTATATTTTGTATATATTATTATGTTATAAAATACACTATTATATGTAAGTTAAAAGTACGCAGCCTTTTCTTACACTCAATACCGCTTTGAGCTTAGAATTCTTGATAATATCGATTAAGAGGTCTTAGCTGATATCTCTGTAAACTCGCTCATACCATTTGAGGCTGACTTAGTCCCGGTTAGTATTTGTAACGGAGTGAAATACTGCCTTGTATATTGAGAAAATAAAATTTTTGCCCATCAGTTTGACCTTCACAATAATAAGGAATTTTCAATCACATACTTGTATATCAAAAAAGGAATGTGTTTTACAAGAATTTACAATTTTATCTGTTATTGATAACAAAAAAATATTGAATGTAGGTATATTTAATATTAATTTAATTCTTCTTTATTGACCACATATAACCATATACAAATATATAGCACTATATTTAATCATGTAAATATATTTATATATAGTGCTATATATTTACTATTTTTTTTTGTATTAATCTTTTTACTTCTTTATATACCAATTCATCCATTAAGGTGTACGCTGCCATGCATTGTGTTCTGCCTATTGTGTATTATATTTTTCGATATATGTTATAAATTTAAATGGTACAGCATTTCATACGAAACACAATGCAATATGTCTATATAAAAATTATAAGAATAAGGAATTATAGTTAGTGTAATAAAATGAACTAAAGTTTTATTACCTACCAGAGGAAATACATTGTATGTATCTTTATTACCAACGCTAAATATGTGACTATATTTGTAGAGAAGCCGTGAGCGTTAAATGGAGCTGACTGCGTTAACAAATGACCCGTACAATGTAATTACCTTCAACCCATCGGCGTCAGATTGACTTCAAAAAGATCCCCAGAAGGGGTTGAATAAGAATTATGTTTCTTTATGTCGGTTCGTTACGGAGAGACTTGAAAATTTAGCAGTTTCATTCTGCATTTTAAGTTACAAAATGTGCCTCTAAATTGCGCCAATAAAAATTATAGCAAATCGTCAAATGCCTAATTAATTTAATGTTCTACTTCGTGTTTATTTGAATACTGTCAATATCTCAGCATTTATTTAACAGATTTAGTATTTATCAAATTGTATAGTTTCAAGTAGATAGATAGAGGAGTAATGAATAGTATGTAGGTACATAAAATCTTAACTAAACATATAGGGGTAATTCTCATGAAATCTCGAAATTCCAGTCCTAGTAGTTTTTACAATAAACTTAACAGACTTAGGATGGTATTTTATTTTTTCAGAAAGAACATGATGAAGGCTAAAAATTTTGGTAATAACTTTGGAATCGTACGGGCATTTATGAGGAATAAAAAATATATAGTACATTGAAAATCATTCCCTCACTATGTCCCAAACTACAGATTAAAACATTGTATGAAGTTATTATAGAAAATTTCTCAAAAAATCTGTTTGTAATTATGGCTAGTCTCTTGTAAATACAACAACTTTTTAAAATTTCTCTGAATTTAAGATCATAAATCATCAACAAGTTCTCTAATGTTGACTCAACATGTGTCCCATGAAAAATAATCATTCCCTCATATCATTATCAACAGTCGATAAGTAGGTATATTTATGATGACTTCAATAACATTATCATTAGTTTTTGATAGTTGGTAGTACGGTCACTTGTTCGGAATGGTGAATTGACCTCACGCTTGCTAGAGTACTTGTTGGAAATAAATATCCATGAAATTTTGTAAAGATTATATTTTAAACAATCATTCCATCACAGTGTAGAATAAACAAGGTAATTAAAATATTTGAATTTTGATGAAGTAGTAAAGTATGTTTTTGGGGGTAGAAAGTGTAGAGAAAACAGTTAGATGGTAACAAGAGGTTATGTTGCGAGATTTTTTAGGTTATGGTTTATTTTGTCATTCCCTCATCATCATTCCCTCATTTTGAATAAAAGTGAGGGAATGATGATTTATGAGGTAATTACTTTCAGACTGGATCAACTTGATTTTCGTACATGTTACTTCCGAATTTTTAAGTTAATATAACCTAGTAGAATTCTAAATGTATTTAAAAAATAAATGATACGATTTCATATGAGCAATGAATATAAACATCATTTCCTCACCTCAGTCATCATTCCCTCACATTTAAATATTTTAAGGGTTCATAAATTCGTTCAAAACTCATTTATTCTGGGGACCACGATATTTTTCACTCCTAATTACATGAATAATATAAATTTAAGAGAAAATGAAGATCAATTAATTCAAACAATTTTCATTAATTTATTAATAGGTAATTTCGGGATTTCATGAGAATTACCCATAGTCGTTTTTGATAAATATGAAATTTCACTAAGTCAAAATTAGAATAATAATATAATGGCAGAAATAATAACAGTAAGATGGCATTTTTCATTGGAATTTCTTGCAAATAACAATAAATATATATTAAAAAGAAAGACGTTACAAGAAAATAAGAACAAATACGATTATTTCTTATATAAACATATTACTCTACTGCTCTACTTAAGGAATAATACAAAAAACAAATATATATTATAAGCTCTTCCAGCCAACCATTAGGTAAGTATAAAAAAGGTGATAGCTATTTGGCGTCATAAATGTAATAAAAAACTCATAATAATGATACATACTGCTAATAATTAGATTAAAACACATTTATTAAGTTGTATTTAGAGGTACATTGCTATTGTGGTTTCGTTTTGTCACAGTAATCGTCGTATGCCTCTACAACCGTCTGTATACCAGGTGACCCGCCAGGGACACGAACATTGCGACGTGTCTGATGGCATGCTACTCGATATCACACCACTCGATGAGCGTGGGGCTAAGCTTTTCACCCTGTACGATAAAGACTTGACTGAAGGAGTTAATTTGCTTATAGGTATGTAACTTTTTGAAGAAATTAAACATAAACCAATCTAGATATGAGTAGGTAGACATTATTATGTCTACTTACTATAGTACGTATATAATATGTAATAAGGAAAATAACAGGTAATAGGGAACCCTTTAAGAATAAGCATTGAAACTGGAGAGTTGTATCACGTGGGTGCTATATATATTGAGTTACATTATTTAATAAGGAGATATGTAAATTATAAAATTTAATAAATTAAATTAGTTTAGGTACTTACCGTTTTGTTTCATTTAAACATTGCGTGAAACGTAACAGTATTAGAAACTAACTCAATGCGAAGAAATGCGTGAGATTTATGTATACCGCAACCAGGAAGGAAATATGGAGGGAAAACTGAACCATAGTTCTGACATTGAACAATAGATATGCGATGAAATCTCGTGATCCATACGATATGCGCATCACGAAAAATATTTACGCGATAAAATGTATTTGTTTTTTCTCTTTACTATACTCGTAGTTATATCTAACTACTTTTATAGACAATTTATAACAGTTATGTTATAGTTAATTTAATTCGGCTAATTTTTGCAGTTGTTTCCGAGAACTGGGGTTCAAAATGTGTTCGTCTGAAAGTGACAGTAAAATCCGATAACTGCGGTGAATTTCAAGATTGTTCTGGAAAAGGCGTGTGTTACACCAATGTTTCAATGGTACCTTTGCTCTTTAATGTTTTGAATGTTGGTGTTACCCATTAGTGAGAATAGAATGTCGACGAGTGTTATTGATGTATGTTTGTAGGAAGGGTACGAGTGCCAGTGTTGCCCGGGCTACGTGGGCCCACACTGCGAGGAAAGGGATGCCTGCAATCCATCACCCTGCTTGAATAATGGTATATGTGTCGACCTCGCGCAGCCTCTCAACGGTGCCAACTACCGTTGTCTTTGTCCATATGGTACCTATGTATTCATTACAAATATTTTCCACAATAATAATTACTGTCTTATATTAGGATATGAAATAATTGGTATATTGTTTTTTTATGATTTACATAAGGAATTTACCTACTAATTCATTCCAAATTAAAACTATAATATATAAAAAACAAATTAATATTTTTAAACCAGTAATACCCATTTAATGATAATGTGCTCTAATTTGAAATTCATTGATCCATTCTTTATTATTATTACATGATATTTTTTGTTAATTAGTACATAACGACCTTTATTCTGACTCATAATATTACAAATTTATAGACAATTATTTAAATACCTAATTTAAAGATATTTCGAGTAGGTGTCCTAGAGTGCCAAACAAGCTGACGGTCCACCTGATGTAAAGTGGTAACCGTCGCCTATAGACATGAACGGTATTATGCATATAACAGAGTATACTGTGTCGCCCATGGTACTCTTCATGCGTTGTTTATTCATATATATATAGCCTCTTATTCCATAGAGGTATCTCTTATACCTAATAAATAAATTAAATAAATTAAATCTTATACCTTATAAATAATTTTCCTCAACAGGTTTTATCGGTAGAAAGTGCGAGAAGGATCCGTGCTATTCCGCGCCTTGTCTTAATGGCGGTTCATGTATGAGTATGGCGATGAATGGAACAACTACTTTCCATTGCGCATGTGCAGATGGTTGGACAGGTGCACACTGCGAATTGTCTATTTCCGGCGGCGCTTGCGCATCTAACCCTTGCGTCAAGGGAATATGCATCGAACAGATTGACAATGACGCAGAAGGTCCAGAGTACCGATGTTTTTGTCAACCCGGTAAGTCGAATCATCTTTTCATTAACTTAATGTTTTATACAAATAGTTTTTTATATTATCCAACAAACAGTATCTTTTCCAATTCAAAATTTTCAAAACATTAGGATTTTCATTTCCACAATCCTAAAATCCCTTAAAAAATTCTTCATTTTCATTCGAATTATATAAGTAATTTATATGATAATTATTTATATTTATTATGATTTTTTTATTATGCTAAATCCCTTTTTTATAATCATGTACATACTCCACACTCTTAAAATGCGTGTTAATACTTCAGTAATTACTACTTACATTAATCATTGAATATGTATCAATTATTATGAAAACTGCATAGCCATTTACCCAACATAATAGGTAATCAATTGATACTTAATGTGCGAATAATCATTATCGTTAACACTACTATGTCTACCTACCTTTAAAGTTATAATCTGCATGAATATTTTGGTTTTGGTTATCCCATTAAGTTGTTTAAAACTAAGTCAATTTAATAACATTTAATCTTGTTGGCTCATGCCAGCTAGCGATTTGTCTAGATGATTTATTTGATACGGAGTTGGAAGGATGCCCACAAGCCGCAACCCTCGGCCGCTGTCCGCCGCTCGTCGATCTCTTCTTCACTAATGAAATGCGAACTTATTTGTAAAGGAGATGAAATCGATAATAAATAAGTAATAGGAACAGAATAACTCCAACTAATAGTAGGAATAACATTGTTACTAAACGATGTTTATACATGGGAGATATTTAAGAACAAAAATATATAAAGAGTCTTAATAGGAGCAATAGAAGCCAAATAAATAAGTAAATAAATAAATAAAACAACTACTTTTAGAAATTTCGTCTGGATGTCTATCTCTTTGTATGTTTGTTCCAGCATCATGCAAAAACTAATACATCAATTTAAAACGTGGTGCACAGTTAAGTTCCTGAAATTCTAAATTGAAAATTTATGTACATTTTATCCTGTTAAGCCATTTAGAAGTGGTATATGTAATTGGTTTTCTTACTTCTGAAATCCACTCAGAGAAGTACGCAAAAAGCTAGCGTAATCGAATGTTATCAAATGTTATATGAACAATGAACAATCCCTTTAAATGAAAGTTCGTATATAGTTTGTCGTTTGGTCCCGGCGTAGAATAGGCCTCCTTTTTCTTTCCCGTGGGTGTTGTAAAAGGCGACCAAGGGAGGGCGAGGAATAGGCAGCAGTGTCCCTCTTAAAACAAATCCAAAGGCTAACTGCGATTGACAATCCCCTGCCAAGCGTGCAACTATTGACTAAATCCTCCAAGGAGGAGACTTATGTTCAGCAGTGGACAGTTAAAGACTGATGTGATGATGATGATGATAATGATGATAATATACCTATTTGCGTTTTCTGCTTTCATATCTATATTATTTATAGACATATACATCTAAAGACGAAAATTTAATTGGCCAAAATGTCACATAACATACACGTATAAAAGATACATTTTAATAGAAAAAGCTTAAATTTTGTAATTAATTTTAATGCCATCTAAATATGTCCCGCGGCTTTGCCCGTAATCAAATTGCGATTGTGAATAGCCTATAATGTTTGAAGTTTAAGTTATAGATCTGGAGATTAGCGCATTCGAATAAACACACTCTACTGCTTTATTATATTAGTATAGACTATAAAAACCAGTATGTAAAGTTGTAACATTCATTTTTATGTGACATACTAAACACAATTTATATTAATACCAACCTACATGTATATAAAATAACATTACACATAAACAAAAAAATAAAAATAGAATCACTTTTCTTGTACCATAACCATAATGCGGAATACGTAATAGTAATTTCCATAACCATAACGACCCATTAATGTGGCACTGCTATAATGGAAGTATATTAGCCTACTATATCACGGTGTCCAGGCGGGTTGATAAATATATGGTTGTATATAGTGTCGTCCTTCTCTTGCATAGGTGTATTGTGTTGTTCCATGTTGACATCCTGGAAATGAATGAAAGGAAGTGGTGCCGCATTTTTCTTCTTTCCCCCAAATTGCATGAAAATAACAGTTCTCAATTCTCACTGTTTCAATAGGCTTTTCACGCTGAGGGCGTATTATAAAGATTACTGTACTGTTTCATAGGCGGATTGTTTGAAATAAATTCGTGTGCAAAACAAGTTTTTAATCCTCCAATGTTTTTTCTTCTCGTTGATGTCCTCGTGAGTGTGTACCTCCGCTTTCATCAAAAAATGTAAGACACAATAGAAAACATTGCTTGTTACTAAGTTCTTAAAGTAATATCTAATACATAATATTAGTGAAAAAGACTTAGTACAATATAGGCCTCGTCATGATATTATTACTTAAAGTAAATAAATAGAATAAACATTAATTTTTAGACCTTGTTTAAAATTACGCCTCTTAAAGTGTCTTATCGTTTACGTTTTACTTACTGTATTAGCACGTTTTTACCTTTATTTCTTATAATATATTACAACGTAACTAGTCTGCAGTCTTATTTATATTTTTTATCAGTAATACTTTTGTAGATAAAAATGATCAAAATAGCAATTTTAAGTAAATTAAAAAAAAATGTAAATATTATTCATATATGTATGAATAATACACAAATTGGGTTCAGTTCTAAGTTTAGTTACATAATTTTAGTGGCATCTCAACTTTGATATATACACTCATGTTACTTACCTGTAACCTGATTACCTTTATGATGTTATGAACTACGAATAAAAATTAAGAGACTTATCAAAAAGCTCTTGAAGTGCCAAGTGAAATAAATATATTGTGTCTAACACCTATCAAACTGACTCGGGTAAATAAATGTTCCGTTCATAATACGAATGCGGGACACTAAAAAATGTCACAGACTTAATAAATCATGGTAAATTAATCAAGACTGTTTTCTCAGTGGCGAAGGAAATTTCGGGCGCTTGTAAACAAACATGCCCCCGGGCACCTTGCAAATAATACTGGCCTATCATCTGTGACTCCGAGAGGAATTGTCTTTCAACAAAAGGATTTTGTAACTAAACATAAACTAAGCAACACAGGCAATGTTGATGTAATCGTATAATATGTTCAGCAAGGGATGTACCTTCTAAATTTACAAAATAAACAATAAAAGATATATCTTTTACGGAAGACTTAAGAGTTATTCAATAATAAATTTTCCCTTCAAATCTAGCATCCAGCATTTCATTAAAAAAGACTCTATATTTGTATTTTTAGATGGAATTTTCCAATCAAATAAAAATATTGAAATATGATCTTTATGTCAATAACAATTATTTCAGTAACTGATTTCAGCTTTTTACATACAAATCTATTTCTCTTTAGGATACACGGGCGATCGGTGTGAGTTGGAGTACAACGAGTGTGTGTCGTCGCCATGTGCCAACGGCGGCACGTGCACCGATCGCGTCGGTGGGTTCGAGTGCTCATGCAGCCGCGGATATACCGGCAATACCTGTCAACTTAAGGTTTGTATAAATTTGGATATGGTGTCAACAGTCAAACGACTCGAGTCTAGCACATACATGCTCTGACACATATTAGGAGTCCCGCCTTTGTTTTTTCAACGACAACATATGCAATTTTGAAAAGTAGATATGTTATTTTCATACAGGTTTTATAAAAATAATTTATTTCGCCGTATTTCATTTCATTTTATAATTTCCTTTTCATTTATTATTTCATTTTATAAATAGTTTGTGTGTCTATTGTGTGTGTGAGTAATATTTAATATTTTTCACTACTTATAGCAAAGGTATGATATGAAATTAAATACGGTCCATTCTGAGGAGCTATTTCTTTAATCCTATCTCTAAAATTTAATTTTAGTATCATAGCTAAATCTTTATGGTTAGAACAAATATGAACTAAATGTTTATATATTATTAAACTAAAAAGTTTACGATGGCCCATAAAATAGTAATACGAATATATATTTTTCCATCAGGTGGGCCGTCAGCTTGTTTGATATTTTATGTTATAACAGGTGGCGCAAAAGTCATAACCTATTGAAAGTATCCTAATCTAAAACCAGAACCAAAGTTTTCCATTCATAAAAAAATTACAGCTAAAGGGCATCGAGCGACAACTTTTGCGCCATATACAGGATATGTTGAATTTAGATTGTTGAGGGTAACATTTTATTACAGGAATAAAAACTTTTTGTTTTAGACTCGTATAGAAATAATAACGAAATTATCGTCAATTTATTACTATGTACAATAAGATTAATATAACTACGTAAATAATATTACTTACGTAGTTATATTCCCCACTGACAAAGGCATAGCACATGATAATAGGTAGCTTATTCTGTACATGACAAGTGCGATGCTAAGGTTTCTCTCAAAGGACTTGTATAATATCTGCAACTAAGTACCTATTATGAATTTGGACAAGTTCTGTAAAACAATGCTAGGGTATTTGGCAATTCTAATAAGTTTAAGCTTCCTTTTTTTAATGCGACTTTATGCGACAAATAATCTGACGGCCCATCTGATGCAAAGTGGTAACCGTCATCTATAGACATGAACAGTATCATGGACATAACAGGGTATACTGTTTCGCTTGTGATCTTATCTTATATTCGCATATGGGATCAGCTAAGCTGTTGCACGTCGACCCATCTTTTGTGCTTCCCCCTGCCTTATACCATCATTTCATAGATCCTTTATGTTACCTTGATGATATCCCGCGGTTTAAGATATCTGTAGTCCCCTGTGTGTAATGTCTGTAGCTCGCTCGTGATACCTCCCATGCATAGCCATTCCTAAGAAGCAAGGTGTTATGGCTCTGTACTCTGTAAATTCCTATTAGGTATATTGCATATTGGGTCAACGATTATTTATGTGAATGAGTCATATTTTGAATAAAATTCTAATGAATGAAGTCCATGGATAAACCTTCAAACCCAATGATATAATATCTCAGTTTTAACTTGTTCTCTATGAATCATTCCCTTTAAAATAAATCGGTTATAATCAATCCACTTTACCTAAATTTTGTTAAAAATGTATAAACATATGTATATAAAATGGTATATTTATATAGACACGAAAATTTCGTGGCTCCCAAAGCTTTTAAACCACTGATTTACGCATCACTATTTCCGTTGATAAGTGAATGGGACATTGCGTGACGAACAATAATCTACCGCTCACCTTCCGTGTTCCGGAACGATGTAAAGTTTGCCGATAAATTGTTTAAGGTGGATTTATGCTCGCCGAACCCTTGCCCCGCGCACCATTATTGCCTCGATCGCGGGAACAACTACGCTTGCGAGTGTCCGCATGGATTTGTCGGCGAGGAGTGTCATATTCCCACTAGATCTGTAACTATACTTTTAACTGTTTTGTTGTTTTGTCAGTATTATTTTTAAGTAATTTTAAAATCTGAATTAACTATGTTTATTTCAGAGAGAGAGAGAGAGGGCGAGAGAATTAAATAAAATTCAAAATAAAAACTTACTAAATTAGGTAGTTTAACCAACTGGTCAGCGTGATAAACGCAAGTTTTCTTAATCTTTGATTGAAATATATCCAGACACAGAAACTGCTTAATGGTAGAAATAGATAAGACGACTACGAGGCCAGGAAAATTATTGAATCAATAAAACTTATCATAAATCTTTTCATTCTAGGCTTGCGATAATAATCCTTGTGCACACGGCGGCACCTGTTGGAGTGGTATCGACTCCTTCTACTGCTCATGTCGTCCAGGTTATACGGGGAAACTTTGCGAAGGTTTGTACTAAATATTCATTCCTTTTACACATATTATATTTTGTTTATTTTAGTAATAATGACATCTAGGAGCGATCAAAATAAATTCTATTAATTGTTATTTAATTCATACATACATTGACAGGTTAGCAGGGTTTCCATATCCACTCTTAAATTTTATGACGTATTAGATCATCTTGAGATTGTCAAATTTATCTATATAAAGTTTCAAATTATAAGTCAGCCGAGTACTTATTGTGTCACCATAGTTTAATCGCATTTCTGAATTACACAATACAGGCTTGCATGCCTAGTATGTAATGTAATGTATGTAATTAAATGTAATGTAATACTTTTACCATAATGCAACACAAAAAAGCGGATGAAATTTAACTTCATATTGATCTATTGTAAGTATGAATGATTAACTTATACTATTAAAAGAAAATAGATACATATTTATAATTTTATAGTTTCCGGCGAGAGCGTCGTGAAAACTTTGTGCCTCAATTTATATTTCCGGCTTATAGAGACTTAATGATAAAAAACATAGATAACAAATCAGACTAATCTTATAAAGACCAGTTGTCTCATACATGCTATATTGAATGCAAATATGCTCAGCGATAATTACCTACCCCTAGTGCCTACCTCGTCCGGGATCGTAATCGTGAAGTATTTTACATTTATATCTGTTCTATAGATAAGTTAGGTACTACAAAACCTGTATTTATAATTAGAACCTAATTAGTCTTTCTAAATTATATAATCGTATTTACCTATTACTAATATCTGATTACTACTAATATCTGATGGGAAAGGGATAATTAGTAATGAAATCTAATAATCACCCTGCTAGCAATATCAGGTAGACTTCCACGCGGTTCCTGGAAACCATTGTGATTAATTCTTGTTGAACTCGTCGCGACGGATCAACTGACCAGAGAGAAATGTTTTCTGAAATTTAAAATCCGAACGAAACACAAATTTGATGTTAAAATTACATAATACATACCGTTTAAAATATTAAAATTGATAAAATGTTATTCTTTTTGTAGTAGGAACAATATTTCAGCATTTTTGCAGGTGTGACTTTTATGGTAGGAATAATGTTAAGTTCTATTCATTGGGTCGATTTCAATATAAACAAAAACATGAAATTGAGTCCGAAAATTCGAAATTTCATTTCATGGTAGATTTTCTGGTGGAATGATTTCATTCTCTTTTATCATCCCTCACTAGGGCCAGCTCCAGCGTATACCGATAGCGCAATAATAAAAAGTACTAATCTGTTACCACGAATATTATTCGTAGATCTATTATTAATTTACTTATAAAAGCTAGATGTTTGAGCTCGTTATTCTAAGCTTAAGCCATTGCCATGGACTTAACATTGAACAAGCTCATTATCGGCTGTCCTATTATCGATTTCCTTTACCACAGTGCAGTTTACTTACTGTGGGAAGGTTTTATGCCGAGCGCTTTTTGCACATATTAAATTTTATATATAAAAATAATAAAGAGTTCTAGTTTGTATATAGTTTACATATTAATATAAATAAAGTTATAAAAACATTTAATTACATATTTTAAGACATAATTTTTAATACTGAATATAGCTTACCTTTATATGAACTGTGATTTTGCTGATTTAACATTACCTTATATAATACTTTTAAGGGTAGGTAAAGTACCTGCTAACGTTGTTAACTATGTTATGTCAAAGCACATGTAGAACTTTAGTAACTCTTGATACCAGAGGTAAAACTTTTCAGAAACTGTAGTTATAAGAAACCCCTAAAAGTCCTCTATTCCTAATATTTTCAGCATTCTCAATAAGAAACAAACTACTTCACTTAAATACGGCTAGAATTAGAATAGCGTTATGTGGATATGTATTTTTCCAATATTCAATCATTATATGTATATTAAATACTGACTTCTTGCCTGTTACTTTATAAACGTAAATTTCGGAAGTAGGAAAATAATAGTACATAATAGTTAAAACCGCATCCAATTTGGTACAATAGTTTTTGTATGGTTTCGGAACAAATAAAGAGACAGACAGATATATTTTTTTTAAATTATTCATTAAATTTCTATTGCTCTAATCCCTTATATAAAATTGTCTTAAATAATCTCCGATGTGCAAACACCGTCTAGTTACAATTTTATTATATTAGTTAAAATACTGTAAAAGATAATTTATAATAAATATAATATAATCTAATGATTAATATTGATAGAATTTTTTTTTATACAATTTAGAATGGCAAACAAGCTGCCGGTCCACCTGATGGAAAGTGGTAACCGTCGCCTGTAGGCATGAGCAGTACCATGGACATAACAGAGTATACAGAGCCCATGATACCCCCTATGCGTTGTCATTCCTAAGGGCTCAGATGTTATTCCTCTGTACCCAGTAAATTCACATTATATTCCACCCTTCAAACCGAAACATAGCCATCCAAATACAACTGCTTTACGGTTGAAACACGAATGGAACAAAGGTACCCAAGCAATCGATACAAAGTCTCCCTTTGGTAAAGTACGTATCTAGTAGGTACGTAGTTATAATTACCATTAGTCACTGTAAATACTGCTAAAATTAGAGTACGAAAATTTAGGTATCCATTATGAATTGTGTGAATTACAATAAATATTTATAATAAACATAACATAATCTAATTGTTAGTTAGTTCTGAATAATATAGGTAGTATTTTAGTATAGATAAAGTCGATCGAACAAGCGTTTGGTTTATGACTACAACTTTGAATATAAAATAGAATAATTATTTATCAGAATTACTTACCAACTCAGAAATCGTGGCGCAATCGCCATTACCATAATTTACAATAAATTTATCAAATCTTGTTATTTATTAGTTTAAATATCTATTTATTCATACTTAGCTAGATTAGAATTTATTCTAAGACGTTCAACTAACTCCAAATAATTTATCAGTCATGTCCATTAATTTACAAGAAAAAAAGCTCACGACCAATTCCCAGGTGAGGAATTAATAAAGTTATAATTATCTATCGAGCACACTGGAATCCAAAATTGTAGGTAGAGAGCTTAGTGTCATCTCTCGGATTAATTACATTAAATAATTCTGTTTCCGTCACAGTTAATCGAAAATATATATATTGACGCTTTATATGTATATATGATTAATATCGAACTGTTTCTCCATTCTAAACTCAAATAAGCTGTACGTGGACAATTTATCACATATCCAGTATTCTTTCTAGTCTTGCAATCATAAAAATGATTTAAATTGTTTGTTTCTTATGAAAATAAAATGAATATTGTAAAGTTCTCAATACGGCCGTATTGAGAACGTCTATCTTTGACTATTCTAATTTGATTTTATTGAATCTTTTTTTATCTAAGTGATTTACTTTCGTATTTATCACATACTACTTTTGGAATGAATCTTTCATGATTAAATTTATTAATTGGCCTGAAACGTATTTCAGTTAAATATTTGATAAACATGTTTTTCCAGAGGACTTTATTTTGGAATCTGTGGTGGGCAGCGAAGGTAGTATGGGAGCAGAACCCCGAGGTGGCGGTTCAGTGCGTGAGGTGCGATTGCCTCTAGGCCTCTACCACGACAGGCTTCACAATGTGTACATCGCTGCTGGCACGCTTGGCGCTGCTATAGCCATTGTTGGGATTGTAGTAAGTCACTTTTATCATCACTACGCTAAAGAAGTACCATAAACGCATGAATGAAACAATTTTTACGAAAGTTTTTAATATATATAAAAAAAAGAAAAACAAATCAAGAAAGACACGAATCACTAACACTTAAATAAAATGTATGCTACGTCATAGAAAATATGACAAATTTGTATCTGTATTAAATTATCATCATCATTATCTTTCACTTTAATCGATGCGTAATTGTAATTATGTAATTACGATTACGCATAATACAAAAAACGCCATAGAATATAATCTATACTGTTATTATAAAAAGGAAATGTTTGAAAGTTTGGAATAGATAGACTCAAAACCTACTCAATCGATTATAAAAATTCTTTTACATATAAAAAGCTACGTTATTAACGAGCAATTTAGACTATATATTATTTTCGAAAATTCTATCTACTCGGGCGAAGCTAGGTCGGATTCCTAATGTAAAATACGTAGCACACATCACGTATAAATCACACTTAAGAACATTTTTTTTAGTTTCACTTCAATTATTGTACTCGACTGAACTGATGCATTCATGTTCAAACCTAATTCTAACTTGACACCATATGAAAATATTAGAAGCAAATCTAGTCTATACAATTATATCGACGGTTGAAAGGCAAAATTGACTGAGCGACAAAAATACCTAAATTGAGTTTTATATACCATTCGAATCGCCTGATTTTTCTGCGTCGATTGGTCTAGGTTTTAAAATTCTACGATAATTTTTTTGTCGGTTAAGTACTCTGTGATTTTGGCCAAATTTACAATTTTATGTTTACTTAGCGACAAAAAAAAATGTCATTTAAAGAATATTTATTACTTACGCCATTTTAAAAGTTGAAATATGGATTTATTTAATTTTTCATATCTTTGCTTTCACTTTTGTTTGCAAGTAGGAATTTTTACTTGTTATGAAATTTCGTTTTTATCTATTTTAGTATATTGTACCTATTTAAAAAAAATATAAATAATTTGGTTATGAAATTTTACCTGATGTAATATTTTGTGATATTGCAATTTATATAATTCAATTAAAAATAAAATTAAAGTAAATTATACCTTAGATATTTTTACCTGTATAAAAATATGTTTGCTTTTAGCTGTATATATTTTTACTGCATATATTTGACTCGTTAAAATAAGTACGAATGGCGCTTATATAAATTTACCTGTACGCGAAATAGAAAATGTGTATGTGTTTATTACCATTACAAGCACGATGAAACTCTAAATCAGACATTAAAGATTGCTATTTTAATAATAATTTTAATAAAAAACCAGATAATCTATTATAACTCTAACTAACATTTATTATTTTTAATAGCCGAAAATTAAAGACATAGGTTTTAGAAAACTTATGTAAAAGCAAAATTAGTCTTGTTTTATTGTGAATATTTTTTGTTAATTTTATAGTATTATTTATAATTATTACATTATAAATAATTAAAAATGATTAGTTGAAAATCAATTTGGGATAATTTTAGGAAAATTTATTAACTAAAGATACATATTCTGCTAACACAACAATCATACAAGAACTTACCTAGAAAAATTTACTTGATTTTGTTTAATTTAACATACATATGTCTTTATATAATTGTACTTGTAAGGAGATTTAGATGAATCAGGATAACGATATTTTTACTCGTTTCTGTTAACTTTTTAGATAAATTTATATAATTTTACCTGTAACCAAATCTAGGTATTTTTTATCTAACCGACATAAAATACTTTAAGTTTTAGTCCGAGATAACTTTCTTTGATATCAAAAAATAACAAAAAAAATATATTTTCCGTAACTGTCAAAATTATTTCGATATGTCAATCAGGTAAATAGTTATGATTTTTTTTCGAAAAATTTCAACTTTAAATCACTCTCCTGTAAAGTTTATTAAATGTCGCTTAGTTAAGGTTGCCTTTCAACCGTCGATATTAAACTCTTTACAGGTCACGGCGTGTCATTGCCGAGTAAATAAGACGTACTCACGGTTACTTTCGAGACTGTCCCGCGTCACCGAATCCGGACCACCTCATCATTGGCTGCAGGACAAACGAGCACCTCCGTCATCTGCCCCATTCCCACCACCTTCTGCAACCCTCGATACCACCGATATGTATTATACACTCGATTTCAGCGACAGTCAAAGCTCTCCGCTCATTCAATAGCAATCACTGCAGAACTGCCCCGAAGGGGAACGGTTCAAAATACAAATATAAAGTTGGTTACAGGGAGTTATTGGAGCTGATATACACCAAAAGTAAAGTAAAAGGGACGTTTTCAAAACTATCATGCTAAACTGCACGATACTCCGACTCTAATATTTTAAATTGATGTGATTTGTGCAAAAAGAAAAATCCATATTAGTAGATATCTCTTAGTAGTGATAGGAATTTGGTCAGATATCGCAGCAAAATTTTTGGGCGTTGAAATAGAAATATCTTTACCGTCAGCAGAAGCTAGAACCGGGAGTCTATCATAAACATTCGCCAATTAGCTTAAGGCTACGTTTACGTACAAATAAATACGTATATATTTTATTGTATTCGTATTTTACTTTAAATGTCAACTTTTAATATCGATTTATTAGCAGTTTTGGAAGACGTTATGAGATGTTATTTATATATAGATAGGTAAAGGAATAATGTATTAATAAATATTAAACATCATTGTCGTAGTAAATTTGTTTAAATGAAAAAGTTCTCATATTATTTTTATATGTATATAAGATTTCTCTAAAGCAAAAAAATTCTGATTTTGAGGTATCAAAACAGGCATGTTATATTTTATAATTTGTAAACTTTAAAAAGACTCAGTAAATATAAGAATTGTACGTGTACGTACCTAAATATTGTTATAACGATTGACGTAAACATCTGTAATGGAATTTTTAAGCGTCATTTTTTTTTACTAAGGTACTTTATTTTATTGAAACTGGTTTGTTGGATACTGTTTTATTAAACTTGTCGACTTTACTAATACTTTGTTCACTTATTCATTTTTTAGTACAGTCTGTATAAAAACTAGGAGATAAATTATTTACGTATCTACTATTATTATTCACACATACATACCAGTCACTTATATTTCTTTACCTATATTAAAGTGCCTGTTTGAATGTAGATATTTGATATATTCTCATTTTACCTATCTAATACATGTATGTATTAATTTAATTTAGTTATATAATGGTATATTTCTCTACAGTCTAGGTATGCATAAAATTGACTGATCTTCAAATTAGATGTTTCGAACTTGCATCTAGCTTGCTATTTATGTCTCTGAAACGTTATATAATTCTTCTAACTACTATAACGACTTATTCGATTTGTTATAGGTGCGTAAGTAGATGCGTACATGCATACGTATTTATATGAAATTGATAAAGTTTGAATTCTATTTACTAATTACAAATCTCTGTCTCTTCTTGATGCTTTCGTGATCTAATGCTTCTAAGTGTGTACATAATATGTGGAAATTATTGTTAATGTACCTAAGGTTTCATTAAATTGATTAAGTCAGTTATTAGTGTGTTTTAATGCCTGTAACAATTGGAATATCTCCATAGTTAGCGCTAATTGCATAGAGCGCAAACTGCGTAGATGTTAATTTTATATATAGGTATATGGCCAGATCTGAAATGATGACGTAGCCTAAAGTGTTGGACGCAAACTCCAATGAATTTCTCGTAGTCATATAACAAAAAGACAACTGATACGTTTTGAAGAAAAACATTTTTATTTAGATTATAAACTTTGATAAAAATAATTATATTAATAATATTTATGACAACTTACAAATATTAATATAAAAGAATAACGTAACATCTATTCAATTTAAACTTAGTACAGTAGAATCTAATAACGAAAATGTGCTACCACTTTCGGCGTGTTTTAACTAGTGTGACTAATAGCTCCGAAAGGCGAATACAGGCCGCGCCGCCGCTCGCCACGTCACCGTTCCCGCTTTCGCTACAAACTTCTACTCTACACAAATATTATCAATTTCGCCGAATATCAATCTATCTACAAACACAATCTCTATAGTAAACTCTCTTAACATTGCACTGCCACATGTGAGCTGCCACGAGAGGGCGCATGGTGCGCGGCGGCACGCCGAGGACGCGATCACCTAACTACACACTAACCTGCTTTATGTATGTATTTATTGCTACTGACATTTGTGACTTATGACGAGATTCAAAATCACGGTCTAACATCATTGTAAGTAAAAATTAAAGCTGCACAATTTATTACATTAAGTACATAAATAAATATAATTATGTGAATACGTATAAGTAGGTATAAGTAATAACAATCTGTTACATTCCGCTCCGCGGCAATGGCAAATGCAGATTTTGAGCAATGAAATGCATTAACTTATAATATTTGACTTAGGTGGTGTTTCATTCGTTAAAAAAACTCACCCTAGAACCGCAGAGAATATGATGTATATTAAGAAGATAATAAAGCGGTCTTATAATCCGAAAGCAATATTACTGTGTTTAATATAGGAAAAAATATATTTTACAAAAAAACATATATAGGTATTGGAAACAATTTCTAATTAAGAACGTAAAAAATGTTATAGTTAGTTTATAATAGATCAAGAAAAGCGACTATGGGTGAGATATATTTTGATACTCATACGTTATCTCCGGATGAAAAACCAAATAAGTCTAAAATTTTACTTTAGAAAAAATACTTATAGGTACCTACAGTGGAAAGTAAATAACAAGTGTAGACAAGCCGAATGAAGAAAGAGATGTTTAAATAAAAATAAGCGAAGGACGGACCCAGTCACAACGCAATCGCAGCCGAGTTATGAAAAACAAAACGATACAAAATACGTATTAAATTGATAACTTTATCCTAATTAAAATTCGATATCTAGTGATGCAAGTCACATATAAGTAAAAACTACCTTTAAAATTCTACATCTAAATTCATTAAGTAATCTAATTATTATGTCTTAATATGGCAGTTAATCGAACCGTCCGCACTAGGCACACAACTAAAATAAAGATGACGATCAAAAATCATGAATAACTTCGTCTATGACAAATCCCTTCAAAAAAGCAGAACCTTGTTCTGAATTTTGAATACAAATCGGTGGTGAAACTTAGCTATAATTTTATATGTTGTCTTTTTGATAGAATACAATGTTTATAACAAGTCAATGAGTATAGTTAAAAACTAACAATGATTTTTATGTAAAAGTTATGTTATTCACAGTAAGTATAGCTCAATTTATCATGTAACCTTACTTATACAAGTCTTGGACACTATTACGCTTCGTAAACTAAATTGTTGTCATGGCCCGATAACTTACGTATCGAAATTTTATTAAAATATCAAAACGTTCGAATACAACGTTCTGTTATTTTAATAGAATTTGCAAAATCTTAAAATTAGATATACAAAACCTCTCCCGTCGGTGCTAATGTTAATAGTGTTCGAATTGACAACTTTTGTGACTATGTTTATGTGACTATTATTTATTATACAATATGCAAACTGCGACTATATCTCATTTTAAGTTGTAATTATCGTCCAATACTTCAATTTTATAAACTAGAAACTTCTAAGTAATGACGGATAGTTTACAAAATAACTTTATAATTTTATTAATCTCGTTTTGTCGCTACAATGATTCCAATATGATGGATATGACTGAAGTAGTGGACGTTACGACTTTTGAGCTTAAATTAAAATCAACTTCGTCGAGGAATGTATTGAGCGAGCTTAAAAATGAAACTTATATGTATATTTAAAACTTAACAAGTGGATGGCATGAGTGACTTAACTCACTTACATTTAAAGATACAATAACATAATAATGTAGAAGGCACTTTATGATTTAAGTTTATGTAGATAAACAATTTCTACATAATGATTACATTTTGTGACAAGAATTTCTTATTTTATCATCATGGCAAGATTAAAAGGTACCTGTTGAAACGATAACTACATACAACTAGTATGATAACCGAGCGAATGGCACACATATTTATATAATTAGCAACAGATCATTATCTCCAAAATACATCAAATTCTTATTTGCCATCACACCATAGATCGTTGCATATCTCTTTAATTTCATAAGGCACTAAATTAGATATATACAAAATGGCCCCTCTTAACCGTTTGTGCATTGATTAGCGACCAACGATAAAATTTGTGACATTCAGCTGATCTGATATTATTATGATGAGGAATCGCTTAAAAGTAATTTTCAATCTGAGATCGACACTTTTTGAGACAACCTTATCTCATTTATAAATTAACATTCTTCGCATATAAAGAGTCAAAAGGGAATGTTTATCTTTTACTCAAAGAGTTCAGAGCTCGCCACATCACAAGTGGTAGAGATACGAGGAAAACTTGCACTGTGTGGCAAGCACCGCCGACGTACAACGTCCGGCGCGGACGCAGCCCTAGTGCTCCAGGGGCAACTCCACGAACGTAATGTCGTAGAGGGGCTCGTCCTCGTTAGCGCTCGCTGGTCTTACCTCCAGCAGAAACAGATCTTCGTTACAATAGTACGCCAACATTTCATCATCAATTCTGGCCGTAATCCTGTAATTAAACATCGACACTGAATTCACCGCTGCAATAAGAGAAATATTAGGTATCAAATATTATCTAGTACGAACAATATGCCATTCTATCGATTCTTTAATCTGATATTAAACATTAAATATTTCACGTGTACGTTAAATACTGCAAAGTGCACAACATATTAATAGTGCGAGTGCTTGGCTAATGCAAATTAAGTTTGTGGGCAGGTATTGATTAAGGTGTTCGGGTAGGCGTTTTGGATAGGTGATTAAATGATTATTTAAAACATAGTTAACTCATTTACGGAATTATCATGGGGTATTGCTGACCAACATTAAGCGTTGCGAAGTTAGTGGCGCGCCCTCTGGACAAGCGATTCTTCATTAACGCGAGGCGGCCGGTATTCACAATAACAAAACTATTTGAGGCCAATGAAAACCACTTACCCTTTCTTGTTCTTTCGATAAAGATTATTAATTGCCGAACTTGAAATTTTGTACTTATTCTCAATCTGAAAATAAGCAAAAAATAAACGATTACAATGGGCTTTTGCCTTTTTAACCGAGACGTCTCGTCTAAAACGGAAAATATGGTAACCGGTCTAGTGGTTTCGCAAGGACAATTACAGATTTTCGTTTCGCGCGCGTATATTGAATGGGGTGTCCGGTGCCACGGCCGGCCGCGCGGGTGTTAATTACAACATGCAGTTATGATGATCGTGTGTATTGTATTAGACGGGTTATGAAGCGCCACATCGGTTACAGCGCGCCGCGGGCGGCGGCCGAGCGCACAACGCGGCTAGCGCCCGCGACGCAGACGAAGCGTCTCGATTCCATTCTTTACAAATTATAACACAGTATTATACGTTCCAAAACGAACATCAGTCTAACGAGAAACCGAGAAAACAACAAAGTGCATCTCGCTCACTCGTGCTCTGCGGTTAGCCGACATCACCAAGGTTATTCTCGTGCTACCGCATCGTGCGGTGGACCACTTGATACGTTACTTTGACTCGAGGGTATATTCCGAGAAGATATATTTTCCTGGTCAATGTGACATATCAAATGGCATGCGTTTTATATAAAAGTGCGACTCACAGCGTGCATCAAGCCCTGCGTTGTTGGCGGCGCAACGTGAAGAGGAGTGTATACATCGTCGGTGTCCTGGCGCACGTAGAGCATGACGCGCTCGCTGAGCGGCGGAGTTGATGTACGCGCGCGCTTGCCTATTACACCCTCTAATTCTAGAGAGTCTTTGCGGTCGCTATATGGCGAAACAGGAACACTGTACCTGTAATTAAATATATATCTCTTACATACAAGAATTATTGAAATAAAGGTACTTAGGGACACATCCTACGGATCAGCACTACCATCGTTGACAAAACGGCTATGTTGATGAGCAAGTTGGTTAGTCGGCGATAAGAAAAATCAAGCCGACTGATTATTTCTATCTATTCATTGGTAACTTTACATTAAAAAGAACACCTAAAAATAAGACAAATACATACGCTGGTGCATCCGGTGGGAAATGATTGTGGAATTTCAACGCTGGCGCTTGAGGTTTTGCTGCGTGTAACAGGAAGGGTGAAGCGCCTTTAAGGTGAGCTTCAGTTAGTGCTGCCTCGTCATGCCCATAAAATCCTTGTATGTCCATTCCAGCTAACTTATCGATATCTTCAGCAGGACTAAAAAGGACAGGCGGCTTCGTCAAATCTGCCATCGAGTAGAACTCGCTTCTTTCCGTCACAGGATGGTAAATTTCATCCAACTTCTTTCTATTCGTTGCAGACATTTTTCTTTTAGCTGCTCGTCTTTCTTCATCCCTTGTCTTTCTTTCGGCACCCTGTAACAGGATTATTTAAGTATATATTAATATTACTAAAAACAATACTACAATATAGTCTGACATAGTCTCCATAATTGCGATCTCTCTAAATCGTATCTTAACTTGCATGAACTAGAACACCGATAAATTCGTTAGATCAATTACTTTATTTTCTTTTATTAATGACGTTCTTAGATGTAACAAATTTGTGTATCTGAACGATATAAATTAATATATGATATATAATATAATAAAATATTTGAACGTTTTAGTTATTTTTCAGCAATTTTCATATATTAAATTGTATACTCTAATACAATAATGATCACTTATTAACATACCTTGTCACAGAACACTTTTATTTGACAGTATCCTCTATGATAGACTTGCGTGTCTCGCGGATCTTCAAATGTATCAATCTGAATGTGTAGCGGTAAACCCTGAAATCAAGAAAAGGATTGATATTAAATATGATACAAAACTCTATTACATACAATAGAACTACTCAATAGGTTATGGTATATTAATAAAATAAGTATTGTATATTTATTATATTAGAGTTCAAGTTGTAAAACTTTTGTTTTAGGTTTGAAAACATGAACAACTTGTGCTATCCTGATATCATTTGGAAGACAATTTCAAACTGGCAACTTGAACTCTAAAAGATTTGTTGCACGAATAGGAATTGTGAATAGAAAATTACATGATGTGTCTACTATATACTATATCGTGCTCTCTTTTAATAAAACAGGTATATCTGTGTGTGACACCAGACAGCTGTAGAAATTATTTTTTTAGTAATAAGTATGAGCTTAATATTTAGAACTTTGACTAAAAAAATATGTAGGGAAGAGTTATACATATTTTTATTTTATTATTTGTTTAAAAAAATCCTACACCATCAATTTGTTTTAGAACTGCAAACTTCAGATCACGGAACTGTCCTATCATACCAAAGCTTCCTCATTGAAAATGCTATAAAACATATGCTTACTTTATGGACAAATCAACAAATTTGACTAAAACAATTTCACGCATGAACTTTACGCTTGTATTGGAATTATAACAAAAAATGGTTTTAATAAACGTTCATAAGGGATAATTGCGATAAATTTACGAATAAGGAAAATATGCACGTGTCTGAATCGAATCGCGTTAAAACGTCTTAATTGCGTTCGTTCGAGGTCGGCAGTGTGGCGGCGCGCGGCGTCACCACGTATTCGATAGGTAATTGAGAGGCTGATAGCGGACTGGTTTGATATCAAAATGTATACACACACTACACTGAATATAGCCTGAGTTACAAAAGTGCGGCGATATACAGTAATTAAATTAAGTAGTATCAAATGTTAATTATTTTATTCCATACAACGATTTTTTTTTTAATTATCGACTAATCATTTGCATTAAATGTTTTAACATTTAGAAAGATATATTATTTATTAATAAATTGTTAAAAAAATAGGTTGAATACTTATATTATGGATGCAAAATTTAAAAATGCCGCTTATATCTAGACATAACTATGGAAATCACAAAAAACACTTTAATAGATAGATACTTAATTTTAATTACAAAATTTAATGTCAAATTTTGCATTCCACAAATATAAAAAAAAAACTATTAATATCCTCAGTTTAAAATTTTTATCAACGGCCAATTAATTAATGAGATTTTATTAATCCTATTAAAATAATGAATACGAAAATCCGTAACGCCAAAACTACTGAACTTGAAACTACTAGATTTGATGGAAATTTGTTATTTAGCTTGATTATAACCAACCCTGAATCCTTAATTAACACATAAGATACTTTATGTACCACATTTCGAGCAAATAAATTATTCTTATTCTTATTCACGAGGAAACCGCAGAATACAACTAGTCATAAATAAATTTTATTTAAAATTATAAAAATCTTTACTAATCAAAAGTTATGCAACATGTAGGATCCCTATTGTTATTAGATGTTATAGATAGTAATAATTACCTACTTCAACAGTTCTGAGATTGTTTCGAGAATTCTTAAAAAAATAACCTCCACTGAACAAAATCCTCTAAAATATCACCTGCTTACATATTATCTAATTGTCATTATTTAGACGTGTTTAATATTGATGTATACCCAAACCGTCATTAGTACAAAATCTCACATGTAATTTCGGCCATAAATCTTTTATTTTGGTCGTGCTCTGTAATTCCTGATTTTGGTTCATTCCGCTCCAATATACTTACTAATAGTAGATAATCTTAGTTATTTCGTAGCTTTAATGTATGTATGTAATTCTACTAATCCTGCTAATACCATAATTGTGAAACTTTGTAAAGATATTTGCATATTTGAAGATTTGTTAATCACGCTTATACGGCTTAACGCGTATGAATATGGCAAACAGATAACTATTCTAAACACACACACAGGATACTTTCATCCCAATTATGCGAGCAAAGTCGCGGGACATTAATAATATTAAAAAAAATTGAAATTTGTAAAATGGTTTGGATATTTGTTTCTCGATTACGCTGAAATGACTAAATGTATTTGAATAAAATTTTGTACACTGATACTGGATTACCATGTGGGATGTTTTCTATCAACAAACATACACCACCAACAAAACCGCGCGTTATAACGAGTTTAAATAAATCCAATAAGTGATGTAATTTATAAGTATTTTCTTAAATAAAGATAAAAGTAAAATAAGCTTTGGCCGACAGCCGCCCATGGATCGCGCGGTGGTTATCGACGCGCCTCTGCGACAACGCGGTTACCGACCTCGTGTCTTGACGTTTACATGTCGTAACATACATTTATAATACTTTCAGTGCGGTAAACTTAATTAAGATTATCTGTAAAACAATATTATTCAAGTGATCATAGTATAAACCTATTGAATTTCCCACACATATTTCTATAAATTAGACCTGTTTATTATAGACATGTGTAATGATTATAATGTATTGCAAATGTCTAGCTATAATATTTTTAATATAAGTTAAAATACCTGTATTTATGATAACGGCTGTCTTGCTTGTCGTTAATATGTTTTGTGATATTTAGCACTTATATATGCATAGCAATGTTTTAATGTAAATTAACATATTATCATTTACATTTATTCTTTATCGTATTATTTTTAGGGTTCCATAATTAACTATTGCATTTACAACGTAACAAATATTAATGTAAATATTTACATATGTTATATGAACGTTGATATATGTCTGATATACTTTTTGTTATTGTTTTTAGTTATATTCATGTACTAAGTTACTAACCTTAACTCCTTTTTGACTGCTGAAGTCTGTACTCAAACATTGCACAGCAATATTGATCTGCAAAAAAAGGACTAATATTAAAATTGACATTGACATGTTTTCTAGTAGGTATACTTCATCGAAGCCAATTTATAAAACTGGCTATGGAAATTACAAAGTTATTGCTCATTAATATTCACATGCGTTAATAAAGAGTACACAACACACATCCTGATTACTAGGATAAGCGCCAGGACTATTAGGAACTATATTATGTACTTATATGGTATATAAAACTACAAGATACCTATTTCTTGAAACCAGATAGACAGATTTAAAAAGTACATTTTAAAAAAGAGAATTATATAACGTATCGATATACGACGTAATATTTTGTATTCACACGTTACATTAAAAATATTAATTTGAATTTAGAATTCAGAATTGAGTTTTTTTTTTTTATACAACTTAGAATGGCAAACAAGCAGACGGCCCACCTGATGGAAAATGGTAACCGTCGCCTATAGACATGAGCAGTACCTGTCCATGGTACTGCTCATGTCTATAAGCATGAGCAGTACGATGGACAGAGTATACACAGAGTATACTGTTTCGCCCATGATACCCCATGCGTTGCCATTCCTGAGGACTCAGGTGTTACTCCTCTGTAACCAGTAAATTCACGCCATATCCCATCCTTCAAACCGAAACACAGTCATGCAAACACAACTGCTTCACGGTTGAAACACGAATGGGACAGAGGTACCCAAAAACGCAGGTTAAATTAATGCGGTATAAAATTAGTACGAGGGTTATCATCATCATAATCATCATATCAGCCCTTAACCGTCCACTGCTGAATATAAGCCTCCCTTTTGGAGGGTTTTGCCGGTAGTTGCCACACTTGGCAGTCGGCATGGCAACCGCAGTTAGGCTTTAAAAATGTTTTAAGAGGGACACTGCTGCCCATGCCTTGCCCTCCTTTAGTCACATTTTACGACACCCACGGTAAAAGAAGGGGTGGCCTATTTTATATCTGGACTACACGGTCCACCAGTATATATTGAGATAAGGAATTATCTAAATATAGTCAGAAATGGTGACGTAATCTTGTGTAATATGGCTACAAAAAAATAGAAGAATAAAGAAACTCCTCCTTTTGGAAATTGCTTAAAAGGGTGGATTTCGATATGCTTCAGAGAAAAGTTGATGTATACGCATTAATCACGTAAGATGTTTTAGTGTGCATGTGTACGGAGGCGGCGACAGCATGGCGGTGGCTATCTTATGGCTTGTTCACAAGTACATCTTTCATTGACAGTTCATTATTAATAACGATTTGTAAAAACACAAACTTTCCTATGTATCAAATCACGGCTATTCTTCCTGTACAGATATGTATTATATATATTTTATTTTTTGACAGGGATATTAGTAATTTTCCGTGGTACTTGAATGTGAATATAGAATGTGAAAAATATACATAATGATTTTATTAGTTCAGTGCATTTACTCTCTCTATTTAACGTGACGGTTGACTGGTAGAAAATACCATCAAGCATTAAGTCTTATGTATATTTTAATGTGTGCAAAAGAATAAATTTTTAAATTAAAAATCTAAAATAGACGGCCTTATCGTAGATACCTGTTCTGGTCAACAACAATGTTTTGTCTGTGAAGTATAGTAAAGTGTAAAGAAGTAGTACTAATTCATAATACGTCGATGTGTGAATGAAGCCTTAGTTGGACGACCACTCATTACCGCGGTCTATGCAAATGACCCCCTTGCGTTTTTACTCGCCGCCGACACCGCCACCGATCACTGTCTGTACGCATATTATCTGTCGCAAACTACTCGCATCCGCTACGGTTTCACTGTCCAACAATAAATAATTACAGATATTGATAACTGACTACCTACAATAATACCAATGTGATTAAGAATTGAGCAAAATATTCTATTCTGTTGGTTAGCTAATTCCCTTCGTTTAATAGTGAATAAAGTTTTCAACTATAATATAATCAAAGATTGGACATTTAAAATGCCATTAGTTTCATTGTATACTTTTAGATTAATGATGGCTGAAAAAGATCTTTATTTCTAAAAAAAATTGACACTTTACCGGTAATTATACCAGTATCTATTACTGTTCAAGAAAGGCTACTTAAGTTAGTTTTTAGGTAGATTTTTATCAGTTTCTACAAAAAAATTACTTATTCAAATAAAAATACAAAATATTAAAAGCATATATATATATATATATATATATATATATATATATATATATATATATATATATATATATATATATATATATACCTACTTAGTTTAATATTAAGATTAACATAATATAATTTTATATATCGACGATGAACGTTAATAGTTAATGAATATTGAAAAGGTTTCATAGCATGTGTACATAATATTAATAGAATATCCGCTTCTGCACTGCCAGTAAGTATCGTGTAATTTTATGTAGGCAATTAAAAGACAGACTTTTATTATTTTATATTATAAAAGTCATTAAGAATTGTCACTTACACAAACTACCTATGGTACTGCCTCGCACTTGTTTCTTACTAAGCTAATTTAACCAATTGATTCAATGTATATATAAAAAGTACAGCATAAAATTATAATAATTGATAACGATGTCGGATTTTCGGTAGATCGGGTCAGAACGAGATAGCAATACCTGGCGTCTTTCTCATGTGCGCTGTATCGAAAACGTACCTACTGACATATTAATTTACCTCTTATCCATAGTGGCGGTAATAGACCTAAAGAAACATACCTTGGCAGCGCTTTCAAGTGGATTCCAATAGACAGCGATGGCATTGTGCGCCACTTCCTCGATGCAGCCGGCCAGCCCGATACTATTTTTCGTGTCTGCAACAAAACAACAAATTGTCATTAATCTTGTCTTTGAGTAACTGTGCAGTAATGGCGGTGGAGATTTCGATTAAGATATCAACGCATAATACGTCATCGGCGACGGAAATTTATTTGCGGGGCGTGAATAATCACATGGTAGGGTCGATTTATCAGCAATTGCAATGTTTCCACTTTTGTCCCTTCTAGATTGAGGTTTATGGTAATTAGTGCATATTCATTTAAAACCAATTAAAGAACAAATTAGAGCTAAATATTAGACAAGATTATTTACGATTGTCACATTATAGTTCTAAGAAATAGATGACGACAGTAAATGAAGAAATGGAAGCATTATCGTCTTTCAAATAACATATCGTCTTTCATATAAAATAAATATTATACTAAATGCAATCTTGGAGATATTAAAGTAATATATAGAGAAAAGATATATTTAAAAAAAAGTGTTTAATTTTATGTAGCAGTTATTATGGAATTGACTGTTAATAATAGTAATAATAAACCGCTGCAATTTGTTATACAATAAAAAAAATCATCGGTACAAAAGTGCAATTTTCTGTAAGTCGTAAATAAGAATGACCTTTACTATAAATATTCTTTAATTAAGTATATTCTAAATTAAGTATTCAGCGCATTTAAGATTGTCTAAAAGTGACAGGTTAATTAAATTCCAATTGTAAGTTCATAATACAAGGTTCTCATTCCAACAAAATAAACTGATATCTCCAAGTTATGTTAATAAATCTGTTAATAGATACCTATAACTGTAATACTACTCAATATAAGGCAACTCAGAGACGGCTGGTAGGCGTAATTCCCTCGGTTATAAATAATTCAGTGTTATTTTGTTATAGTTGTTTATTGCATTTAGAGCATAAGGGCAACATTAGCGGACAGGCGCAGGCGCGGGAGGTTAGTGAGTAATTGACGTGAATTGCTAATCGTATACAGATATTTCCTGATATAGGTATAAATTAAATATATGACATATTATCTCGTAACTTTAAATCAAGGTCGAGAACGTTGTTACAATATAAGATAACGTTAAATTGCGATTTCAAAATTATGGTAGTGTGTCGTTTATCAATCTTATCATTGCAAGTATGTACCTACACTCAGACTCTCGATCCTGTTTCAGTTTACAAAAATGTTACATAAATTATAATAGAAAGTATTATAATACATAGCGAGGCACTAACAATAGATAATAGCAATTCCTCCTTGAATTATAATATTTTACTTTGTATAATGTAGGTGAGTATTGTTTCTTTTTGGAAACCTAAAATATTTTTATGCAAATAATTAATCTACTTCAGGCGGAGATGAGAGTGGGTGAGAGTACGAGCAGGGCGTAGGAGGTGGCTGTGTATCGGTGTGCCCGCGATCTGTGCGGGCGCGTGCGTCGCGTGGTCGCATCTCGCCCGGTCGCGTTGACGTGTTTACGAGGCCCGCGCACGCCGCCCGCCCTCCGCTGGGTTATTGTTTTGACTTACTCTGGTCAATTTATGATAATACATTTCAACGTGTTCTCACTCTTATTAACATAGCCGTAACTAATTTACAGTGTGAACAACACTAAAAAGAAGATAGGTATATTATGTTTGGCTAACTTTCATAAATATTTTTTGAACTATAATAAGTACTGTTATATATTTATTATTATGTGTAACATAAATAAATAAACATAAGCATTAGGTCAAAAGTTAAAAAAAAGTATTGCAGATTATAATAGCGATTTCTGCGACCAGTCAGTCTATCCGTTCGAGTTTTATTAAATAGTAGATTATATAAACATACTTAATTAATATTTCATTTATAATAATATTTCTTCTGAACTAATCACATAATATATTACAAGATTATACTCTACCAAAAAAAGGACATTTTATGACATAAAAATATTCCAATGGTCCTAAATTATGTATTTATTTAATTATGCTATTTGTTATTGTCAAAAATAATATTAAATCAATGAAGCGTAATATTATTATATGAACACTGTCCGAAGAAATAAGAACATATGCAAAGAAGGCTTGGTTTGGTGCACCGAGTGTTGGACACACGATACAAGAAGACATGTAGGTAACCGGAGAAGGTATTATACTTGTTCGCAACGCGTTGCGACCCCCGTCCCCTCTCTGCCGCCCTCTGCTGTCCTCCCAGTGCGACCTCCCCACTCGTCCTGCCGCGCTTTCACACGCCTGCACACAGGTGTCCGATGTCGCCCTTGACGTTGCCTCCAAGTTCGTTCCCTACATGTATGGCGCATTACCATTACACCATCTCTAACAACCTACCATACATCATTATTCTCACATGATTAAATTGTATAAATCAAATCTTTCTTTTTAAGATCACATAATATGTACATCAAATAAAGTATTTGATGTACAGTTCAGTTCAGTTACTTAACTTTTTATCGTAACATATTTTATTTGAGACAAAAATTCCTTTGTGTTTCGACATTACTATATTTTGAATAATACTTCCAACAAAATAAGAAATAAACTTAACTAACATCGAGATAAGGTAAAAAAAACCTTGACATTAAACTTGGCCCGACCGCGCGAATTAATGGCTTCCATGTTTTTATTTTCCTTGAGATTTAATTTATAGACACTGCTTGTAGCCGCGGCGTCACTCATTACAAATACTACGGGCCTTAGTTAAGTAATGTTAGAATGTGTAAAGTGTCATATATCAGCGGTGTTTACATCGAGCCAAGCAATTAATATAAGCAAGCATTCCATCGATGACGCAAGTTAGGTACCTACCTATTTGGTGGAACTCTTCAAATTGCTCCTCATATTAAAGTGTTTCTAAATAAAAAAAATCTATTTTGCATTTATTTCAACTTTACTAATATTTATGATAATTATAAAGAAATAAATTTTAAAGAACTAACACAAATTGTGATTATTATATTAATACTTCAAAACTATTGATGAAAATATTTATTATTTTTATATTCCTGGTTTTAATTAGGAACCTATGACAATATATGATAGAGAGATATTATTTTATTTAGCAAGTAATCTTTTCGAGATAAGATTCTCTTTAGAATTATCAAAAGCAATTATTTTGTCGGGTTTGTAGTAAAGTCGCACGGTGTATTGCGCGGGCGCATGTCGAGGCTCATCGTGCAATTAACATGGTAATGAGCGCGCTCCCCGATATCATCACAGTAATTATGTCCGTACGAGACTATATTGTACGATTGCTTACATCTCCTCTCAGAATTTTAGACAAGCTAACATGTATTTTCCTTTATACTTACATACTCCCAGTGTACACAAACATAAATAATAATTTTTATTTTTTACTAGATACACATAGTTACATCGTCGCCTGCCTGGCTGTAAGCAAGTAGGTACTATAAAAGATTTCTCACGAATTTTAACGATTTCCTGTTATTCCGTCGCCGAGTTCTAGAGCTCACCGTGTCAGATAAACTAAGTAATCGTTTTATTTAAGCTCGTCTCTCGGAAACGATGCCTACAGTTTTGTATCTTTAATCTGTTTAATGTCTACGTATGTCATTATGAATACGTGTAATATGAGGCTTGCAGTAAAGGTATTTAGATGCAAGTGGCACGCTGGAGCTAGGTGGCGACGCTACGGGTGTTTATATTTAGCCGGGGCGATTGATAGGTACAGTGGCCGGTGTGGGCCGTGGACGTCGTGCGCGTTATTTATGCAAATGTCCTAACGAGATATAATGGTGGGTAGCGGGGTGAGCGGGCGCGTCTCTGTGGCTTTCTGCCTTGCAGCACGATAATTAGGTCCTGCGTGCCAGCGGGCACCGCCGCACGCCCTTGCTACCGCCGCCGCCGCCGCGCCGCCACCTTTACACGCAACTTCACTGTGTCGCCTCGAGCACGACTACGTTTTTGTGCAGTAAATATCGTGTCTCAAACGCTTGTAAACGCTACCGTCGTTACGTACATTTGTACAAAAAGCTACGAGTATTATACTCATTGAATATATATGCACATAATTAATAAATCACGTAACGCTAACAATAAAATGCTTATCAATGATTTTATTTGTAGGTACTCACCAGCATCTAGTATTCTTTGTTTCACTGAATGTTGTCTGCCATGCCAAAACTGCCATGCTTTGATTTCGTCCTCTGGTGATTTTTCTTCTCGGAACATCAGCATAACAACACTCTGTAACAAAAATATTTGAAATTAGCATCAAGGTACTTATTAAGTACCATAAAGTAATCTTACAATCTCAATGATTCCTTTTTATTTTCTTTTAGAAAACAAAATTATAAAAATGATGTGTGATCATTAAACATAGTTTGTAACTATGCCGCTACATTATTTATTGCCAACTATTAATGGCGAAAGCACCTACCAGCTACGCCGTAAGCATTTCGCGAATACGCAAAACACGATTACCGGCGCGCATTCTCAGCTATTACACTAAACGAGAGCGATTACGTCGTTACAGCGGGCATCTTAATTTCATACGTATTTAAATAGTTTCTTAAAAAGCTCCGTGAAATCTTTCATATGTTTCCGTTTGGTTAAAAAAAGTGAAATATGTTGTTACGCTGATTTCTATCGGCGAGTTAGAAAATGAAGTGAAAAAGAAGTGGCATGAGGCGTGGTGGTAAGCAAGCCTTATAGGGCTAACGACGAGAAAGCACCGCCGATCGTCGCCTCGGATTGATGGATCGGTGCAACGCGACGCACGGAGACGCGCTGCATTCGCTGTATAGGCCTTTGGTCGAGTGAAGAGCTTGTCTCTCCCACGAGCTCTGCATGACCAATAACGCATTTGGCCGCCTAAGTATACAGTATTTTATCAAAACTTTACTTTATTTTACCCTTAATTTGACCATTCATATACACATTATAATCAACTATCTTAAAATTATTGCGATGTTTTTAAGATTTATACTTATAAATATATACGTACATACGTAGTAGACATTAAGTACCTATTGGGTGGATAATTAAACTGAACCACTATTAAAAAGGTGGAGTACTAACTACAAGGATTCGCATCAAGGTAGTAAAGACTCAAATTTGTAATAAATCGATGAATTTACGAGTAATTTGTGTCGGTGAATAGATCAGAGTTTCAATAAGCGGGACACCAGCTTTCTCCGGTGATCGGACGACGTGTAAACTCAACGGAATCGCGCATACTAATAGATAAACCCATGTATAAAATTGTAACGGTGCACTCTGCCTCTACCTAAACGTCTCATAGATTATATAGTAAATAAACACAAACATTTACTGCTTTATTAGAATTCCGTAGTTCGTAGCCACCTTTTGAATATTTAATACATGCATAACTGTAAACCCGAATTAATATCACTATCAAAGTTATTTTAAACAGAAAGTTTTCCATAGGTTATCTATCGTTCATGGCATTGATCTTGATGATGATCTATTTATTATTCATGAAACCTAATAGGAAAGCTTCATGTTGAATTAGATATAATATATTCATTTGAAAATGTTGTATATATCCGGATTCAATATATAAGTCTCATGACGCAAGTTAATATACAAAGATTTATTGGCATATAGTTAAAAATACTGATTTTTTAAAGTATAATGTAATTACGTTACCATACAGTATTACTGTATTACTAAGTTACAAAATCTGGTACCAATTGACTCTTAAGCTTTCTTGATTACTTTACTTTTATTTATTACGCTGGTGTTAATGATTCATAAACACTTGCTGTCTAATTTATTGTTCCGTTGATACTTTAGGTAATTTAGAGCCTATTATATTTTGAAGTTACAATTGAACTAAACAATGAAAAGACAATTATAGAATGACAAAGATACATTGCTGTTACTAAACAATCTTAAATGTTTTCAATAATTGTGCAATTCATAATCTTGATTTTGATTTTACAACAATTTGATTTGTTACTTTGACAAACATTTATATACTAAAACATTTAAATTTATAGTAGATATTACATAGCATAATTAATTACAGATTTTATGATCACTATGAAATAAAATTTGGTACATTCAGCTAATCGAACTCTCGACCCAAATACGAGTGTAATATAATAAGTTGTCAAGAAAGCGTAGGTGGCTTTCTTAATTGGCTTTTAAAAAATATATTAACAAATAGTCTTTAGTGTATTTATCTAACATAAAAACATTCTGCCGTATTTAGCATTTATATTACATTAACTAGTAAGTACCTATATTATTAATATGGTATAATAACTACGTAAAAAATCTCAGGAATATCTCTATAAAGGTAACGTAGTAAAGTACTCGTACATATAGAATGCCATTTTAGCGTTTTGTCCATTTAACTGTATTCCAAGATTTTGCCTATAAAAATTGTGATAAAATAAAGATAATTCTATGTATTAATTCAGGATTAACACAAAATCATTTTCTGTTTAGAATACATAATCTTTACATAATTTTCATTAAAATCTCTTTAACTGTTCCAGCGTAATTAATTAAAAACATCGAAACATTTTTACAAAACATTATGTTTACAATATTAATAGATATTTTATATAAAATAAAATAGACAAGAAAATAAGACAGTTAAAGATTTTTAACCATTTTAAATTAACTACTGTACTAACGTTCAATTTGTAATAAAAACCATAATTAAAAACAAATATAGGTACAAAATGCAGGTGGCTCAGGACTGTTTCTTATAGCAGTCTATGGACTAGGCCTATGTACAGCAATGGACGGATAATGGCTGAAATGACGATGATAGGTAGAAAATAATTTTTGGAAACTTTGATTTAATTAAGTAAATCTTCATATAAAATATGTGCATTTTTGCCCCATAATGTTACCACAATCTTTATTTGTATCTGCATATTCCCACATACTGTTTAAGAGAACTTAGCTTTTTTATTTCAAAACAGAGCAGCATTTTTATTTCACAAGCAACTACGGTTTTGGCTTCTCGGACCAGTTACTTTAAAATTTTCGGACCGTCAATTAATTAATCGAGTGTATCGACATTCGACCCGATTTCAGGAGCTCGGTTGACAATCTGAGTTATCTGATTAAGCACGCTTTCTCTCGCGGCGTGTGTTGGTGTGTCACACACTCGGGCCGGGCATTTTGTGTTGTGCTATGTGTCGTTCGCCGATTACGTTCTGACAGCCACTCCACATTAATTTCGTCACTCTATTTGAATAAATAAGCAATTGCATACATTCCAAGTATAACTACGCAATCAGATGATCTGTATCTTGGGCCACATGTGACAGCTCGATATCGTTAATCTGTGCATAGACACCGATAGCATTATATAAGTTATTTGTTATAGAATAATAATAGAATGTCGTAAAATATTTTTTCATTTTTATATAACGTTCATTATAATAAATGTGTACCGAGAAATACAAAATTCCCTGCAGGAAGTACTTAATGTTCTACGAGTGTCTAGGAAATAATTCAATAAAGTTAATATATTTTTCCTATGATAGGTATGAAGACAATTTTCAGACAAATAGTCTAATTAATAATGGTCCCGGGCCGTGTACTCACTTTATTTCTATATTGAAATCTATTTCTCATTGATGCTGTGCCTATGAGATCATAAGAAGGCTCTCGCTTAGCCGCTACGCACCTGCCTTATTGTTACCCATAAATTGTAAGTTAATGACGTCGTTAACGTATCAACGAAACAATTACTTGAGATTTTATCTGTATGCGTTACGCTCATGTGAATCTTTATATAACTAGTGCATGATTGTGGAACGTTATAAAAAATGTTGCTTGCATCAGTATTCATCATTATTGTTCATATGTAAACAAAACATGCAAGCTAAGTAATATGTCTATACCAGACGTCATTCGTACCGAATGCACTGAAAAATGATGCCCCTTCTAATCGATGGATCGACGGGCCGCGAGCCTGGTGTGGCACTCATCCATCAGCCCCTATCTATTTTATGACACTTATTTATGTTTGCAGTACTGCAAAACTATTTCACTTACCGTTGAGCTTTATCGATAGAGCAAAAGTAATGTCCTGCTGTCTCGATACGCTATATCTGATACGGATACGTCTGTTTGTTAAGTGCGCTAGTTGTTTGTGCTAGTTGTTTTAACGCCTAGGTTATTTGCTGCGAATGTTCTCTGCAACGAATGCTGGTTTCGACATAAATTCTGAGCGGAACTGTGGGTGTAACTGCGCACAGTTGCCTACGATCTGCGTGTCGGCATTTATTTTACATCAGTAGAAATATATCAGGGAACCTTTATTTACCACTGTGACTGAAATGATAACAGTTATTTTCAGGATGCACGAAACTTTCTATTAAAAATAAAAATGTATGTGGTAATTGGATGCCTATTTGTATTATGGTATTTAAATGATGTGTATGTATATTACGTGTGTGTTAGTAGCTGCAGGGTCCGGGAGATTGTTAGAGATGTGCGGCATCCGCCGCCGGACAAATTGCCCAGTGTTCTGCACATCCGGCGCTACAGTCGCCGCCCCTAATTGAATATTGTGTACGTACGTAACTAACAGTTAAAATATCCTTTACTATGTAGCTATCTGCGTTTTCATTAACCATGACAAATCTATTATTGTGGAATACTATAAAAGATAATGAAAAAAAAAAAAATAATTTGTGTAACATCTTTTTACATACTTGTAGTTTCATCATCGACAGTAATTATTTCATGACTTCGGATAACTTTCAAATATATAGATACATTTTTTGCTCTTTTGATATCAATAAAAAATATCCTACAATTACAACTTGAAAGTTGTGATTATTAAATAGTAATTATAAGATAATGTATTTTTAGAAAAATAGTCTTATTAGATTATTCAAAAAATCTAATTAGATTATTTTGTTACCTTATATTTACTGTCGTACAATATTACTTGTAATATGGTCATATTTGACAGTATAATAAACATATTCGTTTACGATATAATATAATCTAATATCTGTATCTAGTAACTAAAATATTTTTTCCAAGTTACTTTTTGTCTCTATTTATGGTACATGTATAAATAAAATAAAATAAAGTCTTACAGATTCTTTTTAAATTGTACATAGGTATCATTAACAAATGTTAATATCAGCAATATCTTATTTTTCAGATTGTCCTTGAACATAGGTTTCCTTCATGTTTCTCCATTGGTAACGATTCCTTGCAGCTTATCTTCAGCCTTTGGG